AGACCAGAGTACATCATAACATAAAATGAAAAATAATAATCATACGAGATCAAACCAAAAGTGGCTGTAAGTGGTACCGTAACTGATAAATCGGGAATAAGTTAAGGCTGGTAAATCATATTGCAACAGCCAATAGGTTAAATGAAAGCTTATGGTAAAAATAATATGAATACACATATAATCTAGTTACTTAATAGTTATCCTATAAGAATATATGTAATACTAGTTCACAAGTAATCCCTATCAATCACCATTCTTTATTCTTCTGATATAAAAAGTGCGTAAGCTACCGGTTGAATTTTTATGTCGTCTTTTCGTATATTTTGCTCATAAGTAATATGGACAAGGATCGACTATTGAGATGTGCTGCAATATTCTCATATCGTCTATTCGATAAATGGAACCTACCATCTCATTGTCATTCTGAATCTGGTAAAATTATTCTGCTATACTCGAAAGATGATGGAGTGGTAAGTTATTTTAATGTCATCACATAGTCGATCATCATTTTTATTACTATCGTTTTTATTTTTACAGTAAAGTTTTAAGATTATTGTCTTGAGTGAATAATGTTTCCAGAAAACGGTGTTAGATGATAGACGTCAAGTAGTTATCAATTCACAACAAGACCTCGTACTAATATGTAGTGTTCTCTAGCAGCACGTTTAGTTTTTGTATTTCTTCAAATATGGAAAGCATGTTCCAAATCTTTTGGTTACTGTCGTGAATTATTTTACCATAGGTTATGAACAGTTATAGACTTTTAATATTCAATTCATAATATTTTGCTGCATTACTGAAGTGCGGCTTATTCTCATGTGAATCTACTGTCAGTAAAAACCATGTAAGCCATAAAGCTACAAGTATTTTATTAACAACAAAAAATAATATTATAAACTACCTAAATTATAATTGTATAGTTTATCCTCAGCAAAGCACACGTATTTAATGCTAGTTTAGTTTATTACTTCACATTTTGATGAGTAAGCTTATTAATGTCCGCAGTGTGCAACTAGATCTGATGAGATAATATTACACATTGTATACATAATAGTAGCCCATTCAAGTTTAAATGTGTTGGATCATTTGTCTAAGAATTTACTTGATATTCTAATGAAGAGTGAATAACAGTATGATACTGATTAATTACTGGATTAATATGTTGAATTTCTTTAAGATTTATCCGATATGATGTATAAATAAGATGAGATGAAGTAAACGACAACTTGTATTTAAATCATAGTATAAGATGAGCAGCACATTTTTATGAAGAGATGCAGTCATCATTTCTCAAACATATTACCTTAAATTTGTGCTTCCAAGTGTATTTACCTTATAGAAACCTCATTTGGAAGAAAACATAACCTTTATGGATGACCTTATGAAAAATCAGTTTATGAACAGTCATTTGTTCAGTCTATAAAAATACAAATATGAATTTGCCATACACAAAACGACCAGTTTTACATCACAATTATATTGTATTATAAAAGCCTCGTTTATAACATCCTTATTTTCAAAATAAGTTGAAACACAAAAAATTTATTTGAAATAAAAGTTGATCGAAATACCTGTCTTACTTCGCGTTAGATATTTAATGTTTTCTTAACTAATAAATCAAATCTTAACTTTCATCACAAGTGTAAATGATTGGAAACTCTAGGTCTTTGTCTCAGCATTTAGGTTAAATGTATAGAATAACCTAACTCCAAACATTAAACAGGACAAATTCCACTAAATAAAATTAGGTGATACGATTTATCGTTACTAATTAAATCTACCACCATCTCAAGTAATATATATTAAGGACACAAAGTTGCTTCTATTCATAATTATTAAACCCATGGTAGTGTAGCCCGAGCAGGATAAGTCATTTGGTGAGATTGTGAACGAGTATAATATGGGATGGCTAGGATATACATTGCTCAAACCACAGCTTAACTTGACTTGTGGAACCTGCGATAATAGTTTAAAAGGCTTTGTAGTGACTATGATAAATTTTACAATTCCGGTTCGGGATCTTCATCGTGGAAAAGAACTAATGAATCGAATTCTCAGTGACATGTATCTGGATGGACAGTGGGTTAAATGCATTTCTTAAATATCTCCCCAAAATTTATTGTACCTAATTGTTGTACTTGTTCATGCTCTGTCACTTCATATGCTTCCTGTTCAATTGCTACGTTTCATTTTATTGAATTTCTAATGGAGTATTAAAAAGTAATAACATTTACAACGGTACATTTTGTTAACGTTTTCGTGTTATAAAGTTTCTTTTTAGTTAACTGTGAGCTTGCTAGTATTTTTTTCATAACAAAAGCCGCTCACTAAAAGAATTAAGTGCTTGGCTCAGTTTTGAGGATGGTTTAGTAGTATTATACCAACGTAAAACATTTTTGTGATTCTCTACATGATATCATGGTTCACCGAAAATCTAACACAAGAAATGAATCTAAAAAGCAATACCGTGATAACCTTCGTGTTACATATCCTTGAATAACACTTAAACTACAGTTGATTCACAGAAACATGCAGTGTAACTAACTTCAACCATATGTTAACAAGTGAAAATAGATTCAAGTGCTACACATGATCAGATATATACTTTATTAGATTTAATTATTAAAGGAAATAGTGTCAGATAATTAATAACTGCATCATATCCTAAATGGACTTTCGGAAAGACAATCAATGAGGGTTTGAATAGGCGGAATTAAGTGATCTAAAGTTGAAAATCATTTCCCCCTATTACGTGATATATAGCTAATGTTGCCACACCTATATTTCATTCAAAGTATATCTTGTCACTTCAGTTATATCGGGAAATGATTGTGGATTTGAGGAAGTATCAAAAGAAAAACTTTGAGGAGTATCTGGCCAGAGCCTTAAACAAGTATTCCAAAATTTTCAAGATAAAGGAAGTAATTATCAGTCAAGTTTGAAAGAAAATGGCAACTTTGGATAGTCAATAAAGTTACTGACAAAACTTTGTTTGAGAATTTTAAAATCAAATTATCAAAATGAAAAGGTGTATCCAGCTATGTTGATTTAGGAGCTACAAATTTTGAATTTTAAGACTTACTTTGTCTTGATAAATCCATATATATAACTCCGGTATATTTCTGCCTGTGGCTCTTAATGTCAGGAAAGGCATTAAAGAGCATTCTACATATAAGTTGAACAAACTTTTTTCAGTGGATTGTGGAGTAGTAGTAAAACAGCAGCTTGTTTTACCTATTTTAGAAGGATACAGCTAAATAAATCAGCAAGTTCGACAGTAACAGGTCTTACCAAGACAAATTTACGGATTATTTCATCATGTTCAAATGGAGATGCTTCTAATCATGGTAATAATTTCCGCCATTCAGATAACAACTGTTTCATACTTAGAAATATGAAACTAAAACACGTCAATTTTATGCTGCAAGAATGAACTAACTTATACCATTTACGCTTTCTTTCAGTTATATACAATCGCTGGGAATCTGCTGAGACGAAAACTTACAAGTAAACAAATCATAAACATTGCCATACGGTCTCGGGAACAATTTTCTACCAGTATAAGTGACGGTATTGCTTATATCATAGAGCGGTATAGGTAAGTGACAAGCATATTGGATTTATTACATCGATATTGGGGAAAATTCTAACAAAACCACAGTTCATTATTATCCTTGTATCACGATGAGGTACTTCAAAGTTACGGACTGTCTTAGCCATGATTTATGTATTGACGGATCAATTTAATCAACACATGAAACATAACGCTTAAAATTAACTAAAAGTTACTATTTGGTTTTTTTTCATCATCATGATAAATATCCTATTTCGGAAAACCAGCTACAGATATTGTACAAAAACGTTTTTTCACACAATTTTTAGGCATGATTTCCCATATAGTCCCATTTATTAAAAAAGAATTCGTGATCCGAGAGTAAACTAGGTATTCAGCACACCTGAATCAAACACGTAAAACGTTTTTGCTTGTTTCGCCAAATATATCGTTTTGTTACTGTTAGCATTTAGCCTTCAGAAACCCATAAGGTAAAACGAGTCCTGTAGCATTTTCTAATCTTAATTGTTATTCTATCAACAGGCTAAGTTTAGAAATGGAATGCATTCGAGAGGTATCTGTTTGTCAATCGCTGATGCCATCAACCACATAACTCGTCATTAATTCTTTTTTTGCTTGGTAGGACAGATGATCAAAAGAATAAACCCACATCATCATAGGTTTGTTTGGTCCAGATCAGTAAAACTATGAGTCAGATAGTCTCCTTTGCCTAGTTTTTTTGGGAAAACCAAAATGATCGGCTATTGTATATTTGGTCAAAGAGAAAAGAACTGACTTTTCGCCAACATTTTTCATCATTGGAGAATGCATAATCTAAGACGATAAACAGTTTAATCAACTCATATGCAAAGTAAAAGTCTTTTCTAGGCATAAACTAAGGCTCTACCTTCAAGCATACAAGAATTAGTTACTTCATTTTAGGATGGAATCGTAAAGTCATTACATGAGGTGGTTATGACCAAGTGATCAGGGTGTTGTGTGAATGTTTGCAGAACCTAAAGCTTATTAGAAACCGATTTTATTTCCTGATAGTTTTAACTTTCGTCAGTTTCACGATTAGACACCAATACAGAACATTTCTACTAGATTAAAGTACAAACCAATGGTACCAGATAAGTTTCCACTTTGATTTACCAGCCATAAGAACGTCTTTTATATGATGCTATTGAAATGGTACATGTAGAATGTAATCACTGAAAAAAAAAGCTTTCAATAAACTTTTTGTTCAAAGGTGTAGGCTGAATGAGTTACTTCCAACAAGAGGCAGTAGCAAAGTTTGACTTAAAGCAGAGTAAAACAAACTTCAAACAATTAACTAAACTATGATTGTAAATGACATCTTAAATCATACAAGAATACTGCTTTTTCTCTTTTAGGGAGGCGGTTGAATCGAGATCAGCGGATCTCTTTGACAAAGCCAAATAACTCAGAATCTCAAATTCTGATTTGTTAAAGCTTCATGATTACGATATGTGCTGTTTAATTTCATTTTGATGCATGTTTTACCATTCCTCCATATTATTAGTTCATTTAAAACTTTATTCTTTAGATTAATTTAAAAATAAATTTGTAATCAATTCAGCACAGTAATATTTGTTGGACAAAAGTTCGGAAGAGTGATTGAGTTGCAGGAAAAAAACTCAGAAAGCATAAGGAGAAATCCCAAGTACGGAACTTTATAAATTATTAATAAGACAAATAAACGAAATTAGTACAAGCACTAATAGCGATAAACATAAGGATTCAGGAGCACGTAAAATAACACATGAATTTTATCTTTGTGCGTCTTTTTGTGAACTAAATAGTTTTATTTTGAAACATTTGCAGTACTTCGTGATAACCCGCAGAAAAACTTTGAAAGTGCTTAAGGTAACTATAATCATACATAAATACAAGACTAAAGGACTGAATGAATTAAAATATAAAACGGCATATGACTTAAACCAGTTTGTACAAAGACCAAGCATGACTGTGAGAGATAAAAGACAAGACAACACCACACCAGATGCAGCATGAAAAAACCTTCCATTACTATAAGCCAACAGACTTCTCCAGAGATTATAGTTAAAGTGAAGCAATAAACCCATGAATAGTTGGAAAACAGAGTGAAATACTGTGACTGCACCTAGAAATCCGTGCCATGTGGTGAAATGCGGTTTTCCGTCTAATATTTTGTTAGCATAAATTCCAAGAAAACCAATGAAAATAAATAGTACTGAAAGGGACTCGAGTAGCCAGTGAGCTTTTATCTGTAATTAAGATACAAAATAAAAAATGCGGTAAATATTTTAAATTTTCAGCATGGATTTCAAAAGTGTAACATACAGTAGTCACTTCAAATCATATTAGGATGGAAAACTGTGAACTCTTATTTCAAGATGAAATATGGTTCCCGGGAGTCTGAGATAGAACGTTTATTAAAATGTCCCAATAACTAAGTCATTAGTCATTTTCAAAAATACACTTAAAACAAAATACAGCTTGTTATTTCTATCCTTTATTGCCATTATAGTGTGGGAATTTGCGCCATAGGACATCTGCGTCAGACCCTCGGTTGATGATGTCTCTTTGGTGAGTAATAAGTGATTTGAAGAACAGTGCAAACTCTATGGGTGTTAAATGAGAGTTCAGCAACGTTATTCTAAGATTTGTTTGAAACAACAATTTTGGAGCTTCTTGTTATTTTACGTAGAGATGTTTACGCTAGGTGTGTGAAGTTAAAACAAAAACACCCCAATTTATTGTTCAGAAAGACTGAAAAGTAAATTATCATCGAAAAATTCGATTCTTATATAGCACGTATATTGTATGACCTTCTTGGAACGAACTAGCTGTGATGGTATCGTACTTTGCCGATAGGGTTCGTGGTGTAGGTCACTAGATTCAAAATACTGCATGAAATTTTTCAGCTTTATTTCCTGTAGCCTTTGTACTACTATTTTGTCCGCTCTAACGTGGTAACTTGACTTATGTTCCTAGTTACGTCAACAGTTGTCTTTAAGAGGATCCTGGAAGATTATAAATATCCTCCGATAATAACATTAAATATGCAACTACACCGCTAGTCGAAATAGAAGATCCTGATAAAATTGTCACCGTTCCACGTAGTCCAGGTGTGGCTGTCCTGAGTGGTGACAAATGGACTTCAGTAAGGAGAAAAAGAAGTGGGAAGAAAAAGACTGTGGGCAAAACGCAGCTGGTCAGCAAGGCATTGGAAGGGATGTTATCAGAAGAAAAATCCTCACTGCGTGACAAGACAGATCTCTCTGAGAGATCAGTCATTTTTCATAAGATAAGAGAATCTTCAGATAAGGAACCAAAGGCAAGATTTGAACACGATCTCAATCATATTAAGACATCATTAAGTAAACTACTCCCAGATACAGTTTCAGGAGTCAGTATTTGTAAGCTTTATAGGATAGGAAAAAAGGTGGATTCCGAAAGTCCTCCGAAAAACCGCCTCCTGAAGGTTACATTCAACACGGTGGAAGAAAGGAACCTGATTCTAAGTAATTCACGTAAACTGATAGGATCCGGAATATATGTCCGTGAGGATCTCAGCCTAGCTGATCGTATTAAGAGACGAGCTGCAGAAGCGGAAATAAATGAACGTCGAAAAAACGGGGAACGAAACCTTGTTCTTAAGGGTTTTCAAGTTGTAAAAGTTCGGAGCAAAACGATCCCCAAGCCACTCTGGGTGGCAAGGGAAAGCTCTCCACAGACTTGAAGGTATCCTACACAAATGCTCGCAGACTACTAAATAAAATGACGGAGCTCAAGTCAGTGGTGGATAAAGAAAAACCGGACGTTATTGCTGTCTCGGAAACTTGGTTAACGTCAGAAGTATTAGATAGTGAAATCCAGTTTACTGGTTTCATAACCAGTAGGGCTGATAGATTAAACCGTAGGGGAGGCGGGGTTATTCTGTACACGAAAAGTATCCTAACCATAAGATTAGCTCAGACAGCAGAACATGTTTCAGGAACATGTGAACTGGTGAGATGTAAGTTGAAATGCCGACAGCAAGATATTGAATTAGTTGTAGTATATCGCAGTCCAGAATGTGTAGCAGATGATTTTATCCTAAGTAAACTTAAGTCCTGGTGTAACAACCGTAAAAGTCTTGTAGTAGGCGACTTTAATGCACCACATATAAACTGGGTTAACTTAGAAGTAGGGTCATCCATATCGTCGTTCGACTGCAAACTGTTAGAAACCTCGATTGGATTAGCATTATTCCAACACATTAGAGATCCGACAAGATACGACTTAAGAAACTCTTCCTCTCTTTTAGATTTAGTTTTCACACACGGTGATGACGTTGGTCAAATGGCTTTTTTCCCACCACTTGGGAGAAGTGACCATGCAGTCATCTTATTCAAATTCATGGCTGAGATTGCCTGTCAAACAGTTGCACCGGCCCGTCCCAACATATGGAAGGCAGATATGCAGGCAATTAACTCCGCAGCATCGGCTGAAAACTGGGAAATTGACTCAAAGGCATCAGTACAAGAGGCATGGACTCTATTCAGGCAGTTATACAACTGGGTAACTCAGCCATACATACCCTGGACTGTCCCAAAGAAAAAAGAAGCACGGACATCCCTGGATAGGGCGGGATATTCGACGTTTACTAAGACAAAAGAAGAACAGCTGGGATGTTGCCATCCGCCTTGGCACAGCAGGTACGATGGAACGCTACAGATTGATACGAAACGAGTGTATAACGAAAATTCGGGAAGCTCAAAGAAAACATGAAATGCAGCTGGCACAATCTGCACTCAAGGAGTCCAAGAGAATATTCTCGTACATAAACTACAGAACAAGGATGCATCATTGGATTCCTAACCTAATTAAGGTAGGAAGTGAATCTGAAATGATAGAGGAAGATCAGGAAAAAGCAGAGGCTATGGCTGACTACTTTGGGGCAGTTTTCACTCAGGAACCTCCTCTAGAGAAAGAACCAGACCCAAATACAGAGTCAACAAACCAGCTGCTCACCGTGGACTTCGACCAAAACGATGTGCTTAAGGCTCTTAGCACCCTAAACATGGAGAAGTCAACAGGATCAGATGAACTACACCCCAAAATCTTGAGACATATTGCCCAATATATCGCGGCCCCACTGACTATGATATTCAATATGTCACTTGACCAAGGTGTGTTACCTATGGACTGGAAGGACACAGTCGTCATTCCCATACATAAAACAGGTCCACGACAAGTTCCATCGAATTACAGACCTGTAAGCCTCACCAGTGTGGTAATTAAAATACTGGAAAGAATAATCAAACGGACCATAACGGCATTTATGGAAACCAATAACTTGTTTAACATGGCACAACATGGTTTTAGAAAGGGTATATCCTGTACAACGAACCTCCTTATAGCTAGGGAGTTCTGGATTAATGCGCTAGACAACGGAAACTCAGTGGATGTTGTCTACATAGACTTCAGTAAGGCTTTTGACAAGGTGCCAACTAATAGACTGCTATTGAAGTTGGAAAACATTGGTATTGCCGGACCTCTTTTAAAATGCATTAAAGATTTCCTAGTAGGTCGTAGACAAAAAGTAAGAATAAATTCCAAGTGCTCCATCTGAAGACCAGTACTTAGTGGAGTACCCCAAGGTTCCGTCCTAGGTTCTTTACTTTTTATAATGTACGTTAATGATCTTACAAGTATAGTACAGTCTCCAATGTTATTATACGCTGACGATGTAAACATTTGGCGAGTAATAACTGGAGACAAAGACGCATTTACTCTTCAGGCAGACTTAAATAATATGATAAACTGGTCTAAGGAGTGGCTGATGCCTATCAACGCGGAAAAGTGTGTCTACATGCACTTGGGGGATTCAAAGGTTAATAAGTACAACATAGGGGAAGTGTCATTACCCGTAGTCCGGTCTCATAAAGATCTAGGGGTGACAGTGAGTAATGATCTTAAGACGACGGCCCATTGCCGGGAGGTCGCAGCCAAGGAGTTTCGAACCCTCTGGCCTTTAAAAACGACATTCACTAAGGTAGATACTACCATGTTCACCACAGTATACACATCCTTAGTGAGAACAAAGCCAGAGAACTGCGCTCAGGCTGCAAGCCCCTGTTTAAAAGGCGACTCGGACATACTAGAAAAAGTACAGAGGGCAGCTACGCGTGCAATTCCGGAACTCCGGGGTTAATCATACGAAGAGCGGCTTGAAAAACTGGACCTCTTTACTCAGTCCTATCGCAGACTAAGGGGAGATCTAATTTTGATGTACAGAATACTGAGAAATGATTTCGGACCTAACTTAATCTCTCTCTTTCTTCCCACTAGATCGGGACACCTTAGAGGACATAACAGGCGAGTAGAAAAGCCAAGAACGAACAAAATACCCGTGGCATACAGGTTCTCACACCGAGTCATCAATACTTGGAACCTGCTGTCTGAAGCAGTGGTGTCCGCACCTTCAATTGACTCTTTCAAGAGAAAACTGGACACTCACAGAACATACTAGAAAAGGAATAAAATAGGCCGTAGGCCTTCTGTCCTTACTACACAAATCTGAATCTGTATTAACAGTACGTTCACCCGTTTCTATGGCCTTTTGGGGTACAATATAATTGTTGCCTCAGTCAGCCATTACGAGAGGCTAGAATCCTGGCTTGTTAATAAGCCATGTAGAAGCAAGAATTACAGGTGGTGGTAAAAACGCCGATGAATTTTGAATCGGACGCGAGGATAAAAACAGGAGAGAAACACTGTTCCAAACAGAGTATTTTCGCTTATGTCCCATACATTGTGCATGATATAATTGTTGAACAGACGATTTACCTGATCTGCCTAGTCTCCCTATTTTACGGGGGAGCTATAGAAAATTTTAGGGAAATGGTACAAAATCCCCAAAATTCCGCAAAATAAGTAAATTTGGCGGGTTGGATTTTCTTCCTGAGAATTTCAACTTTTGTCAAAAAACAAAACGAACAGACTTTTAACAGAAAAAGTCGTACCTTTTCGGACCTAGATTTCAAGACACCGAAAGCACGCTCACTGAGTACATTTATACCATTTAACATAAATAACAGAAATCCGAAACTCATAAACATCGGATGCAATGAAAAGAAATTCCTGGAGCATAAGGAGAAGTAAGTGATTAGTGAACACAGCACAAAGGTCGATACGATCAGAGGACCATTGCCAATTGACATTGCTCCCAAGTCCCACGATATTAAACAAACTATTCGAAAGTAGATCCACAATTCGTTCCATAAAACCTTGAATGGAATTGGACAATTGACCACCTATGCAATATAAATCTTTACTTGTAACTGATACAGACTACATTGACTGATTGGACTGGTCAAAACTTTGATGACTAATTGGTTTACATACCTACCTACTGTATGCAAGCCATGATCTACATAAACCTTTGCATTTAGCCTGGAGATATGTAGTTTATGTGGAAAGCTAAATAAACGGTGTTTGTTAAGATTTTAGGAAAAAAAGAAAATGAAGAAACGTTGTCCGATGAGATAGGAGTTCATGCACACATATCAACGGGAACAACTGGTGATAATAATGATAATTAACAAACGTGAATTGCATCTATTCTTGATATATCGATAGTGTAGGGCCAGTGAAATGTCACTGAGCCCTAGCCAAATCATCCGGCAGTCGGATCACTGAATGTCGAACAGATCGTCGCTCCCTGCCAAGGTCATGTACAAGAAACGCGCATTAGTTAATCATACGCCATGGACTGGCCCATGCGGCAGTGGTCTTACTTTCGCCTGTATCTACCTTAACTAATATATTTCTGTAATAACGTCCTTTGTGTTGTACAGTCTTCAAAGCATCTATAGTACCTTGTTACGTCAATGGGAGTAGTCCACGTAAGGTGCTGACCACGAGGTGTGACTTCGACATTAGCTAGTTTGTCACACCATTCATGTCTAACTCGAGTAGGCCTCCAATCATTTCGACATAGATCATCTACGTTGGTGATCTACACTGGTGAGCAAGACTTCGAATAAAGCAACCTATCACTATAATCTTTATTATTGTATTCTGTACTTATTCTTTTTCATTTTTATCATCGCCTATGTTAATCTGTTACTGTGAACTTTCGTTGCTTCATGTCAATGTTGATTAGCATTTAAACCTAGATAATTCGTTCAATCGACAGAACTAACCAATCAACTACGATTATAATCGGCTATCGTGGTTCTTTAACAAGCATTAGCAGCATGTAAATGCTCCTGTGTAATATGTCTGTTAAAATATCAACCACTCGTGAGTATAGCCACAAGGCAACACGAACGCATATCTCTTTGTACCTTATCCACTGGTATAAATAAGACAAGATTAACTATCGACTATAAATTCATCTTTCTGCTTAACCACTATCCACTAGAATGTTCTGCTTTTTTTACCACTGCCTGCCTAATTTCCAATTGCTGAGTTCCATGGCCAAACAGAGGATACGAATGCTAGAAATTCACGGTGAGTTTGAACTATAAATTTCTTGCGATCTTAGATCTCGTTTAGAATGTTCGTCAGGCAATGCTATGTGTTTGGCTTAAATTAATTCTGGACTTATACGAATTCAGTCTACAACTCTGTGTTAATCGAAAAATTTAATCAACAGCATCTCGTACATAATCCGGATTCAAACTACTGTCTACTTCATTACTTAGAAGCAAGAGTAACCCAGGCGAGTTTCATAATTTCATTAGATTATTTCGTACTATATTTATGATGCGTGATAACATTTCGTAGTTGCTTTCACGTAAACTAGTCATATATTCTGTCACTGCCGTCAAGTTTTAGTCGAAATCATGTACATTTATGACTCGTTAGTCGACATACTGGGGTAAAACATATTGCATGTACACGAGCACGCTTAGTCCATATCCCAAGTACACATGTTGTCGTACTTAATATGTCACTTAATGCTAGGTAATAAGCTCTTTGTATCATCCTTTTACGAAATGGCCACGTTACCTGGACCCTCTAAACCTTAGTTACATTGGTGGTTACCATTTTAATTAATGTTTATTATACCCCTTGTATTTGCTAATAATTCACACGGTAAATCATGGCTCGATTTCCTTATTACACGACAGTCATTTTGATTCTATTTTCGGTTTATTTACATGCGATACGGGTTTGGAAAATATCTAAACGTCCTCGAAAATTCTCCACGAACCCAACCATAGTTTTCGTATATGTTTTTATTCACACATCCAACTGTTACGCTAATCATACCTAAGCGAACGTTCAGTGCAACTGTCAGTATACGTAAGAACGATGTTATTTAGACTTGACATTGTAACACATCTGAACTATTGTAGTTGTTCTACTTCGATGTCGTACTTCATTTTATGAAGTATTGTTTCATCGTGGCTGTTGTTTAACAGATGATTCCGGTACATCAATCGGCTGTTCAACTACTCGACGATTTACAACCTGTCCAGTTCAATTGGTGGTCTGACGACAATATCATTCGCGCGAATCATCAGTTTATGCAGTCGAGCGAATCTCCTGCAAACTGAAAACGATATTGTCACCTCTACTCCAACACTGACAGCGTTTTTCACGGGTATCATTGACATGAGTCCAGAGTGACACTCTTGTTTTCTTATGTTCTTTTCGATATTTTTCTGTTCACTAACCGAACAAACACGCAGCATTCACCGTTTATCATCTTTTAGAGACTTCATCGTGCCACCTTTTGCTGTCGATTTGTAGCCTTCAACCCTTACTGACTGTAACAGCAGTCATCGACTTTTCAAACTGTGACTACAAGTTGGTCAATAGCTTCGCACAACGAAATCACGACCACTCTTCACTGTTATACTTCTGTACTTACGGTTAGTCTGTTAGATATAGATATAACTAGAATTTGACACTAATTAATAGCTGTCAACGACACTGTCCGACTTACAACTTTAAACTAATGACAGTACAAACAAGGACATCGATTGATAATGCACTTATCCTACTATCGCTATAGCATCATTACTCTTGCGGCAGACTTAACGTTTGTCATCGGAGGAACTGAATTACTTGTCAAGGCTATATATTTCAGCGCGACTTGATAGAACAATAAAACGTTTTGTTCTTTTCATTATTTCTATGGTTAATCGCTTTACGTTTAACCAACGTCCTACTAACATATTATGACTCGCTGTTTCCCGACCAGTTTCTGCCGCCTCCTTTCCATTTCTTTTACAGATAAGCAATACCTGGAGGATTTATAATATTCGTTTGGCACTCTCTGGCGCGCGACTGCTCCCAACATGTTTGGTACCGATTCAAACGGCCGCTGAATCTGGTGGAGGAGTATTGTAGGGCCGGTGAAATGTCACTGAGCCCTAGCCAAATCATCCGGCAGTCGGATCACTGAATGTCGAACAGATCGTCGCTCCCTGCCAAGGTCATGTACAAGAAACGCGCATTAGTTAATCATACGCCATGGACTGGCCCATGCGGCAGTGGTCTTACTTTCGCCTGTATCTACCTTAACTAGTATATTTCTGTAATAACGTCCTTTGTAAATAAAAATAATATATTTGTAATATCCCAATGAGTAGAAAATTGGATTTTCTGACGTTTCGTGGCCTAGTGTAAGTCACTTCTTCAGAGAATAAATAACCAAATTAAAATTAATCCAAGTTTAAATAGTACAACGGAACAATGCAAGAATAATATTTGATCAATCAAAAAAACAGGTCTGAACAAGTTGATGTCATGTCATTTCTGTCAAGGTGATTCATAAGTGATAAGTATGTAAATTTGTGTGTGTATGTATATGTGCATTGTTTAAGAATGAAAACTTATGTGACCTTTATGGTAAGAAAGGATAGAGTTTAAATTTGTAATATGAAAGTGTGAAATTGTAAATACGATCAGACTGAATGGTTAGGATAGATGGTCCAAGTAGGGTGTATGGTAAGGCACATATACATACACACACAAATTTACATACTTATCACTTATGAATCACCTTGACAGAAATGACATGACATCAACTTGTTCAGACCTGTTTTTTGATTGATCAAATATTATTCTTGCATTGTTCCGTTGTACTATTTAAACTTGGATTAATTTTAATTTGGTTATTTATTCTCTGAAGAAGTGACTTACACTAAGCCACGAAACGTCAGAAAATCCAATTTTCTACTCATTGGGATATTACAAATATATTATTTTTATTTATAACAATCAACCCAATGCTCAATTTATTCGAAATTATCAAATCAAACCTTGGTAATGACACCTACAACGTCCTTTGTGTTGTACAGTCTTCAAAGCATCTATAGTACCTTGTTACGTCAATGGGGGTAGTCCACGTAAGGTGCTGACCACGAGGTGTGACTTCGACATTAGCTAGTTTGTCACACCATTCATGTCTGTCTCGAGTAGGCCTCCAATCATTTCGACATAGATCATCTACGTTGGTTATCTACACTGGTGAGCCCGACGTGATACGAACACGCAGCCTTCTGATCTGGAGTAGATCACCAACGTAGATGATCTATGTCGAAATGATTGGAGGCCTACTCGAGTTAGACATGAATGGTGTGACAAACTAGCTAATGTCGAAGTCACACCTCGTGGTCAGCACCTTACGTGGACTACTCCCATTGACGTAACAAGGTACTATAGATGCTTTGAAGACTGTACAACACAAAGGACGTTATTACAGAAATATATTAGTTAAGGTAGATACAGGCGAAAGTAAGACCACTGCCGCATGGGCCAGTCCATGGCGTATGATTAACTAATGCGCGTTTCTTGTACATGACCTTGGCAGGGAGCGACGATCTGTTCGACATTCAGTGATCCGACTGCCGGATGATTTGGCTAGGGCTCAGTGACATTTCACTGGCCCTACAATAGCTTCCAAAATACATCTTCGAACACACTCATTTCTGAATTCTGATTCGACTGGGTTAATGCACTGTGATCATAAAGTGGCTACAAGTAAAGGCACTGTCAAACTCCGAATACCTAAGACATCTTTCACAATATACAGGGAGTCTGTCCGTTGTTGTAACTTTTTTTAATTTTTGTTTTTACATGATGTGACATCGTTTTTATGTTTTCTCATGCTTTTTCTTGCCCATTTGTATGTCTCATCTTTGTTGTGACGGGGCAGACACCTAAGCAATTTAAGACTTCCGATCCATGCCATTTTTACTCGATAATATCGAAACTCGGGAGCAAACTTCCACAAGCACGGCCTTATAGACTCACGTGCACAGTTTCTCTCAATGGTGAAAGCGTGATTACAACAGGCACGTCATACTTAGTGTGTTTACTGGTGATATCCCTGAATCATTCGAAACTTAAATGTGGAAACCTAACCGACCGACAAGGTTTAGGCCAACTTTTTCACAACATCGAGTTGCAACATGGCCCAGCAACAGAAATGTTCCTACGTATTCGTAAGGTCGTTGGTCGACAGACCTTTGACAGTGACGGGCTCAGAGAGCTCCTCATGTAAAAGCTTACCCAACACGTACGTCGTAAACGAAATGGTTACATACGCCATTTAGATTCTGGTTGTCACCAGAACCTCTAGGCATAAAGGTCCATTTTGTAAAAGCAAAGCCCCCAGTGAGGTAAATTAACGCTACAGATCTCTGTCATAATCTCACTGGTTGTCTTAATGTTAGTCGTAATCACAAGAGCCTCCAAAACCCGTCAAAGAAGCTCATCATGAAGATCTGTCTCAAGACCATGAGAGATGGATAATCCTGAATTGTATTTGGTGTTAGAGAGAACAGCAGTGATCGGCGTCCAAACAAATACAAAAACCACTACCGATCGTTACCCATTGCCTTCAATTCATGATTTGACAGTTATCTTCAAAGTACAACAGCTTTTTACGAAAAACTACCCACAAAACACGGCAATACTATAAGCATTGAGAAATGTCTGCAGTAGATTTTCTCAGACACACTACCGATGCTCACGTTATACGCCCCCTTGAAAGCAAATGTTGGGCATTCTGGGATATCCAGAGCTGACGGTAGTCAAGTGACTGCGTTCGTTCAGCGGCAATATGGGAATATTTCAAAACCGTATTTACAAAAATTGGCTTCCGATTCTTCGTCTTTAAACTATAGCGAGGCAAGACTCTAATTTATGGACGAGTCAATCAGAAGCGTTTTAGAGATTTCAAGGTTACAGCGTCGACTTCAGTGCTTAATTCTAACGTTCGATCGGTTCACAGGGAATTTTGTACAAAACGCGGCTATAACAAATAAAACGGAGAGACTATAATTTGTGGACGAATCAATCAGGTATAAGATAGTTGATCTCGGATTTTAACGCGAAAGCCTTTCATCCATTTGGCTAAATAAATTTCTGGCATTATAGCTGATGTCAGTTCGTGATGGAAAGCCCATATATAAATCCTAACTGAGGCAAATTATGACAATTATTTAGGACTGGATAATAAAAGCACCCGTAACGCTGGCTGCAGCCATGTACTACAATATATACGGATGTTTGGAGGGCGTACAGACTCCTGTATAGGCTTGGTTATGTTCATCGTGTCGTTATCCACGAGTAGCATTTTGTGTACTCAACAAGCGGAGTGTACATAAACAATATTGAAGCTATTTGATCGACCCTGAAAGAGTTTTTGAGATTTTATCATGGCTCCAGAGGCCGACTATTCTGTAGCCGTATGGATGGTTTCCTCTACTGCATGCATTACAATTTTAGAACCTTTGAACCTCTTTCTAACCTTGACGAATTTTCGAAAGAGAAGTGTACCCACTTTATTTCCTTGGTTTTGTATAACATTTTTTTACTCTATGACGACTGCTTGCTGGTTGGCTAATATTTCTTAAGGTCACTTAAGATTCGTTCAAAGGTCGTCCATAAGTTAGAGCCTCACCGTTTTCCTTGCCGATGTTATTGTATCCCATCTGATAATACGTTATCTTATGAACCTGACCAAGTTTTCAACAATAGCGATGAAGCTCTGCAGAGCTATTGGTTTCCAACATCAAGTTATAAGGCAACAATCAAGCCAAAGTTTAGATTATATAAGAAAAAATGCCGGTTAATCTTCTTTGAAATGATTTTGTGATTTTAATACGACGACAGACTACCTAGATATGAGATGTAAGAACCACGCAACCCAACGAATTCTGAACCAAACCGCATCACTTCATTTACGTAGCAGACACCTCATAATAGTCCGTTCAAGGTCATTGAAACGAAATGGCGAGTGTCTTCGTGAGAAACTAACGTTCTTACCGTGCTCAAACGCGTATGAATATAGTGAAAACGAGTAAAATTTAAATGCTGAGAAATTGGGTAGAAGAAGAATTAATGTAGAAAAAGTTATGTTATGTGATCAGTGTGAAAATAGTAAAACTGGAATTGTATGTCTCATTTAGATGCTAAATAATTTCAGGTTGTCAGTTTAAAATATTTCTCATAAGTCATGGAAACTGAGTTGACCATAAAAGTTTATCTCAAACTAGTATTGTCGCAACAACTTACGGAATTTCCATTGTAAACTTACAAACATTTATATAGTGTTCCACACCCTCTCAATCTAATATATATCTTTAGGTCTAAAGTACTGCAATAATATAAACAATTACTATGGTCTGGATTTACGCAAGTAATAAGTAAGTGAGGGCTCAAAGAAAAATACAAACTAAATAATCAGTCTTAACCTGAGCTTCTAGTGAAATATCTACTCCCATTGTTCTTAAACTTTCATGGGATGTTATTTCTCTGAAAAAATAATGACAGTGATAAGGCGAAAAAGGTCATATCTCTCGAAAAGCTTGTAAATTTTATATCTTGGACTCAATTGATTGATCCCGTCAAAATGTCAATTTCAGAAAGGTTACAGTTCGTTCCTTATAAGTTGTATGATTGGTATGAGCTAGGTTACAAAACGTGAGTTACACAAATACAGACAAACATCGACCACGACCCACCAAACGAAATTTATATCACATAAATATTTAATTTGATAATAAACCATGAAAAAAATCAGGAACAAAAACAAGACTAGGCACTTACGTTGGACATTCACAATACACACACAATACGTAAGAATAAATAGTGAGAAATACTTTTAAATCGACCATTTCTGTCCATCAAGGTAAGAAACAGTAAATTTAAAGCAAGAAAAAAGATAATTTGGCTGGAATATGTTTTTCATTCGTACAATATGTGTGAGTTTTTATAGGGTATTAGTTAGAAGAAATAAAACAAACCAAAACGAAAACAAAATATCGAAGGTTTACAGCTAATATGAGTTGAAAAATATTCCATAAAATGGTATCAATGAAATCTGCTGTTTTTCTTCATTACAAGAAAGCCATATTATAGCCAGCGTTGCAAACAGAACTACAATTTTCTATTTGGTGTAATTGAGAACAAAAGAAGAATATATCTTGTAGCGTATATTGCTAAACGTGACTGTGTTACGAAATATTCAAAAAGGCATAGGAAACATGAAAAACAAGTGGATGTTTTTATTAAAAGCATCCGAGTCAAATTTTGATATACATGAAAAATTCATAAAATTACGAATTTATATGTAATGATCAATATCAAGAATACATGCGTAAAACAAATACAAGTAGCGATGGTACTTATCTCAGTTAGTTAACAAAATAATGAACAGTTTATTCAAGAGAGAGAGAGAGAATGAGACAACTACTACAGAGAGAAGAAACTCAACAACTTAAGACGAAGACGACAATTGACTCACATCAAAAACTAATAATAATAAATCAAAGATTTGTGAGTTGATTTCTGTCAACGAAAAACACAGAATAATGCTAGACGCAAAGGGTGGAAAATGTTTAAAAGTTATTTTAAAGAAAGGCGGCAGTAGAAGAAAATAACAGTCATTGAAGAAGGACCAACATTATAGTGTAGTTGATCTTTTTAAAATACAAACATGGAAAGAGCAAATCATACAGAACAGGATTATACAATTGAAATGAAAATAAACACATAATCAACTTTTATCCCTCTCACTGGTTTGATACGAATATAGAACAGGATATTGATCTTTATTAAAAAAGAGTAAATAACAAGATATCTATTCTCAAGAACACCAAGAAACAAATGAGGTCATAATTAAGATAAATGGATAGCATGAGGATAAATCTTTTCTTGATTTTTAATTTAAATGATATTGAAATCTTATGCGCTGTATGAATATTGTGTGTGAATGAACGTTAAGTGAATTCATTCATCATTCAGTTGAAAATAGATTACATGATGACAGATTAAATTGATTCGAATATTCGAACGCTGACAAATTATAAGCATAGATATACGTGTATAATATTTTTCTATTTAGACTTCATTCAATCATACTTCTAGTATATATTCAGGGTTTACATAGGAAAATCCAGAAAATTCAGTTTGATCCAAATTCATTATGAATAATTTATCTGTTGGAGTTAGTTTAGGCGGTTCTTTAGTGAATTCTGAGTCAAAATTATTCACATCTCGTTTGTTTTTCTAAAATACAAATGGATACATAAAATGTAAATCATGCGATTTTGTTTAAGCTAAAATTATCTACCTTGAAATTGCAATAAAAATTATCTCACGATAATACTTAGTTCTATCTAATTAATAAGTCCTTCGTAAAACTTTATAAAGTATGATTATGATATCAGATAATGGAGTTTGTATGATTGAAAGCTTGGGAAATAATAATGATTTGTATAAGCTAGATAAATAAACATTTCAATTGAGTGAGCAAAAGGCACTCAAGATTGGTTTCAGGAAGTGTGAGAATTCTTCAGAGATAAAAGGTTCACTGACTATTTTCAGCTTCGTATATATTTTGATTTGAAATTAATAACGTATCAGGTACTAATTAGTGTTGATATTTATTGCCATGGTAAACTAGTAGCATATAAGCAGTTATTTTTATAAGAGTTTTACTAGTACTCAAGTTGTTCGTCAAACTGTCTTCCAACATCACATAATCTTAAGCTAAAAAAATAAACCCGTAAATGAGAAACGATTCGATTATATTGCAAATTCACAATTTATGTACCTAAGACATAACACATCTACTTTGAAGTTGTAAATATGTTTTAGAAAATAGAAGCTACAGAGAGCAGTATCAAACAAACGGTTATTACTGTTAAAGTTCGGTACAAAGTTATATCATCTTTGTATACTTCTGTGCCTACTCTTAAGTAATTTTGCAAGATTACTAAGAATGCATGAATATTTCCCCGACAGTAAACGTCACTACAAATTCTTGACCTTGCTGATTAATCCTTATAATAAGATGAATACTTAACCTTCTTATAATCAAATCTGTGATAATGCTTTGCTTAAATAGATGTATCATTAAATGACTGTCGTTTCATTAAACGTGTCGTTAACAAACCTAATATAATGAAGAGAAACTTTAGTTTAGTATAGTAAGCTTTTTTATTGATATTCTGATATCGCATCGGTGCCACTTGAGGCATTTGTTGTAAAGTATACACTGACTGACTACTGACTAGCAACTAATCTCATATTTGTCTGGTCTAATTCTTCATACCAAGTTGTAAAATAGCCATTGGTTTGAAACTTACTCAACATCGTATCCCCTATGTTTTAATGTTCTGTGGTGGCTGGATGCGTTTGGCGAAAATGCTCTTAACGTTTGGAGACACATAAATTTACATTGATTACAAGAAGACTTTTCAATCTAGCCTAAAATCAGTGATTTATAAAGTTATGTAAAAGAAACTTTGGGCTGAACTCAATTCTAATAATGAACACTTACAATGCGAGGTTTGAATGGTGGTTGAATTTCCAAATTTGACAGTTTATGCCAATCAATGTGACGATAAAATTGATGTTGCCGAATATCTTTCTCCCCATTCGGTCCCGACCCAAGCCGTTCATTAGGGTTTCGTATAAGTAACTAATGAAACAACGCGGATAAATACATCTCAATTAACTGTCAAATAATAGTCAGGTGATAATTTTTATAAATCTGAAACATAAATATTTATCTCACACACCAAAAAGATGTATTCCCCTCAACATATTCGTAGAGACAGAAATAAATTTTAATTGCCAAAATTCTTTGGTGTCTTTCAGCTACTGATAGTAAACTGCAATCACTAAACAAAAAAGGAAATTAAATTATCATTTTCAGAGGTCTGATCCGATTGTGATTAAAGAGGAAAAGGAGTCAAATATCAAAAGTGTCATTTAAATAATGTTTACACTACTAGTGTGATATACTGCTTAACTACAGGTTCAAATGCAACAGATCAAAGCGTCGCTTGTTATCAGAATAATAGATTGTTGTCCAGAGATGGTGAGCTTTTTAAACTGACTATTCTGTAACGTCCTAAGCCAATTAAATATCTACATTTCTTAATTATTATAGGCAAACAACAATCATTCAAAGCAAATAAAAGTATATTTACTTTCTTTTAATTGATGAGTCCAGAAAATTCGGTCTACAACTTTAAGTGAAAACTCTCCTTTCTTATCATTATATGGATATAGGTCTCAGAGATGTGAAATTCGTCAACGGTACACGAACGACTTATCCTGTTCTATAGATCAATAATAAGATTCAGTGTAACTTTTTTTATTGCAATCGAGCCTCAACCTAATATATTTACATAAACGTAAAACAATTCTGAATTACGATTAGTGGAAAATTAGATTAATGCATGTATAACTAGTTTGAACTCTCTACTTCATTGGGAGTAACAGGCGTAAGTAAGTAAATAAGATTTATTTAAATGATCATTGGAGTTTCTACTAAATATGTATTTTTTTACAGAACCATCAAACAAAATCCTCATTCAAATCAGATATGATATACTTGGAATATTTATCAAACGGTATATAAATCCGGAAAACTGGTTGACCTAGTCAATAGCATTCGATCTGCACTGATAAGGACTTGACACACATGACATTGATCACCGGTCAGTGATCAATCAATTGTGAGAACAAAACAAGTAACACAAAGGTAAATCCTAAAGGATCTTTTAAATTGAACAGGTTAGTTTGGATGTCTTTTTTTCATTTGCAATCATTATTTACTTAGTATCGTGATACGTACAGATTGCAATAGCCCAATTTTATGACTAGAAAAGCAATAAAGTTGTACAACAGTCTGTGCTTTTTCTGTCAGTACATATGTATATCCAAAGGTAACTGTCGACTTACACCACGGCATAGCATACAAGCTTCTCTAGACATATGTCGGGGATAAGCAACGTCTTGTGAAGCAATATTTCGAAATAACTCTTCTTCATCTTCACCATCGAATGGAGGCTAAAATCAGAACAAAATGATATCCTACATGAACACAATATTCACACAACACACTGATATTTGAGGATTATTTGATGCAGTTGACATAAGCTGTAAAAGTATCAAAATTCTTTAATTGACATATCTAATCAACTGTTAACTAATAAGCTGGGATTTTAGAGATTAAGCAGAGCGAAAGAAAATGGAACGTAGCCGTTAATAATCGAGATTGCATTCCCACACGTATACTTTCTGGTCGTGCTCATTTAAACGTTAGAATGTGTTCATACACATTTCCAAATGATTTTCTGATAGTTGGTTACGTTTGAAAACAACTTCACACTAGCATGATCAAGTAACGCATTACACTATATTTTGGACCAATCAATCAAATTCTGGGACCCATTTGTTTTGGAAATTCAGAGAACTATTCAAAATGATTTGAAGACGTAACTACCTTGTCAGCCAGTTATCAGATGGTACGAAAGTTTGAAACCGTCATCTGTTGAAATGATACATTAAAATGACGAATGTGAATTGATATATTGACAAACTCGACAATTAATTGTGGTAGTAGACGTTATTGACAGAAAACCAACCGAACAATCAATCGAAATGACATATATCTCTCTATAACCAAATATCATTGTAAGTTAACTGAGAGGAAAGGGTATACGCTTTGAATCAAGTAACTTAACTATTCATTTCAAAGTCAATTAAAGTGAAAAATTTGGAAAAAGCTACTGGTTCATAGATAGAAAAGTTCATTCAAAAAGAAAATCTAAACAACGAGCAGAGTCCTTAAATACGAAAATATTTCAAGATTTAAGCACTGTTGAAAAGTTGGTTTGGGTCACTGAGATCCTACATATACATTACTATACGTGTGTAAACCAATAAATGGAATTCGCTAGAATATGGACCGGTGACTGTGAGAAAGAATTCCACCATACTTACCAGACCTGCAAGCATTTCATAAACTAATACACCAAACGACCACCAATCCACAGATTTCCCATATAGTTCATACCTAATAATCTTGTAAAGAAATAAGGACATGTATCACATCACAAGATGATAAATTATCAAATATGACATGTTTTACAATGTGTTTAATCGCTAGAACTTAATATTTACATAATACAGCGTTGTATATCAGCAAAACTTTGAACCATAACAATCACTTGTCAAACATATACAGCAACTAATTCATAAAAAACTACCGTTAAAGTTAAATGAGAATTCAGCCTGCAATTTTAAGCATTTTTTTAACAACTGACTAAAATTTATTTCTGTATTTAGTAACCGGGCGCACATTAAGTCTAATGTTTGCATAACTGGTGTTCACTTATTATTATATGTCCATCATGGGTCAATGAGAAATATGTCTTACCCGAAGTAATGTTAGGCAAAGCTGATACATAGGGTGAAATATTTTCGACTTTCATAAAAATAACTTATTTTGTCTGCTTGTCTATCGATCTTAGTTAGACATAAAACAACTTGGTTAAAGTAATCCATAATTCTAGCTATTTGATTATTAATGGTATGTCAACAAAGGCAGATTATGGACTAGATATTAATTAAATACTTGAGATGAGGGTAGGGTGAATAGATAAATGATATCACGACTTTTGTGTTAATGAAAATAAACATGTCTATTTTATCTTAATGCGGATTTATCAAGGTACGGACAAAAATTTCCGAGATTTGGCATCAACGAATATCATGTCAAACAGTATACTTATGCCTTCACCCCCAGTGGAGCACAGGCCACCGATCAGGATTTCTTAACTAATGATTCTTTTTGGTACTGGTTGAATGCTTGATTTCGAATTCTAAATACAATACATTCGTTTGTGCCTGTGTCTTCTTAATTCAATTGCGTTAATCCTGGAATTCCTAGTTCATACGATAATTTGAATACCATAGGCATGCGTCTTGAATTTTTCTGCTCTCGTTCGGCTGTTATTATTCACTATCTTCTTGTTATTACCTTCTGGAATCCTGTTCAGTGCCTCGATAGATACCCATTAGTCATGATGATGCTTGTTGCGGCTCGGAACTTCCAGACACGGTGAAATCTGTGCTTCTTTGATCCCTTTCCAGTTGTTCTCCATAGTAGTTTCCTCTTCTTTGAGTAGATCATGTAGGGCTTGGAACCTGTTGTTGAGAGCTACATTGAATTCGTTGAGTTTGTCAGTACCTCGAAGAAAGGCTGTATTGAACCTTTGTAATGCTGTTTGCTCAGTTGTCCAGTAATACGTTAGCTTCAGTTTCATCTTGGCAACTACCAGGTGGTGGTCTGAAGCTATTGCACCTTTCCTCTTCGTTATCATGACTTCCATGGTCTTCCGAATTTTCTATTGATGCAAATATGATCGGTCTGCTTCTCTGAAATGTGATTCGGTGAGACCCATGTAGCTTTGTGCTTGCATTTGCTGAGGAATATAGTGCCACATATAATCATTTTTTGAAGGCACATAAGTTTGCAAATCTCACACCATTTCGTTCCGTTCTCTCAGTTCATGTCGTCTCATGATATCTTCATACTCGGAGTTGTCCATCCCGACTTTGGCGTCTAGGTCTACTATCAGGTTCTCTCCTGGACACTTCTCCATGGTCGGCTGAAGTCTCTCGTAAAACTGCTCTTTATAGTCTTCACTACCATCGTTGGAAGGTGAATAGAACTAAATAACACTCATTGTGATCCCCTCTTTATTTGTTTTCAACGGTCCAATGAGGATTCTGTATTCATGAGAATCCCATCATATAAGTGTTTTTCGTGCTTCTTTGGACTGCATCAGTGCATTTCCTTGTGTTCACTAAGTAATTTCTTCTTCTTGACGAGAGTACAGCAGCACCTCTCTTGAATCTAATTTTTTCTGTCCAGCTTTGGTCAAGGGTTGAGAAACAACGAGGAGCTTTTTGGGCTACACATAATGCAAGGCGAAAATGTGGTAGCTATGCAGTTTAAGGACCCAGTTACAATCATTAGTTTGCGGTAATGCACACACCTTTCTCGATTTCTGTTTGGGTAACCGGGATGTGAGGTGGATAAAAATGGTCTTCACAAAAAACATTTTTATCGAACTAGAAGTTGGTTACCGAAATGTATTAATTTAAAGTATATGTGAGAAATGTAGTCCATTAGGTAAGTGAACAGGGTAATTTACTAAGAACGCCGTACGATACAGATGTTTACATAAAACAAAGGATTTTATTGTCACATCGAAGTTTAACAGTAGTAAGTTAAAAATCTAACCTAAACAATGACAGTGGTCACGTGCTGGATTAGAAAAAATACAATAATCAACCAGTTACACTAAACGAATAACACTGCTACTGGATTTACTTTTCGTCAGTGAGTAGTCGATAATCAAGTTAACACTTACCTCTGGTGCAATATAATCAGGTGTGCCGCAAAATGTACGTGTTTTCTTCTCATCAAATATTCCCTCTTTACACATACCGAAATCAGCTATTTTAATATGACCTTCACTGTCTAATAGAATATTATCCAATTTAAGATCCCTTTGAGAATGTAATCAAAAAAATAATATAGTATAATTTTATCACTGGCAAAAATAGTTATTGAGATTCCTGATGGTGTAAAAGAAAACACAATAATCAGATTCAAATTAAAAAAAAAACCAACTAAATAAGCTGCAAAACATTAGAACGTCAAAAATTATCTAAATGATATCAATTTAAGATGTACAAATGCCACTGTTGCAACAATAATGATAATAATAATGGCTGAGCAAAAAAGTAACACAACTAATGACTCATTTACTTATTTGAAAGTGAGTCAGACTAACTATAGTCCTATCATCTTCACTCGATAGGACTGTCACATAAATGTCTTGGATAAAAGATTGCCAAACTGATTACATCACTTAAGCTATGGGGATAAGATAGATTTGTAGATCATTTTACAGTTCCACTACATAGGTGAACTAGTCTAATCAGTTTTGCTGACCTTTTACTATCCAGTGAAATCTAACAAAACAAATGAACGAGGTTATTCATTTGCAGGAGTTTAATACTTGGCATTCAAAAGCGACTATCGCTGAACTAATTGTTTCTTGTTATATTTTACTCTCATCATCAAGTGGCTGATTTAATTTTAGATGTATTGTGGTAAACGTCTACTTGGAAAAGGTTACCTCCTCAAAAGTACACATCTACCTAAGACGTTCAAACACACAACTTTTAGATCTAACAATACACTTTTAATCTACTTGTGACTTGTAAGCTACTTATTTAGAGTTCAATGCCTCATATCTTACGATTCCAGTTGCTTTACAGTTATCATCATTTCTTGTAGAAATTCTTTAAATAGCGCAAGCTACTATCATCCTAAAATTAAGAAATCACTGTTTTTCATTCCAACGGAGTGAATACACGATCAATGGTTTTTTATAGAAATCGAAATACTTTCGGTGCAATTGCTGCTTACGACTAAGTGGTATATACAACTTGTTTACCCACTACATTTATTGCGATGTAACCGAAAGAGGACAATTATTTTTGTTATGGCTTTATGTTGCTGTCGTTTTTTACCCTGTGCTAATTGTTGTGTCCTTGACTGAAGAGATTAGAGAACAGCGTATTTATCGATCGATTACAGTGACACGTAAACACGTACGGACGGCCTAGAGTCTCGACTGGTTTGCGCTTCCTTGTCTAGCCCAGTCAGTTGAGTCTAGAACACAAGCCACAGCCTCTGAGATATGAATCATTATATTTCAAACATACTTTGTTTATATACCAATCAAGCATACCACATCGTACCATAAAATAGAAAACAACATTCTGTACAATATTCAACAAGTGAACAGATATCGACAAGTAGGAAATGTCCATTTAAAGTCCAAGGACACCATTGGACTTAACATGATAATTATTGGTCTATTCCTCCGCATCCACAACAATTTTTGTCTCAAAATTTATTCGAATTAATATCCTGAAGAACCTAACACAAAGGAAATAATTTGCTGCGCTTGGTAATTGTACCATCTATTTAGATTCTTTAAAAAAACGAGTGTGCATAAACATGTTAGGTGGAAAACTTTAATTGTAATAAGGAATCAGAAGGCCTACATCCGGCCAGTTAGAAGTATGAGTTAACAGAAACTGTATACTTCAAAAATTTGAGGAGATAAAACGCGAATATCCAGCTTAGAGAAGACAAAACTCAACTTGCTTAAGTTACTAGTACTATATTCAACCTTCAGCAAGTCAGAATACAATAACTGATAAAATAGTAGTTGCACCATAATGTTACATTGCATATATCGACGTGAATACTCAAAGAGGATTACTATAAGAAAGCACCAAATGTGGATGCGTGAAATGTCTTCTGACGTCAAAATGCGTTCTTTCTAAGTGCAAATGAATCTGATGTATCTAAGTTTACCAGCATTAAAGTGAAACTGTACAATCATCACCATCAAATCAATAACAGAATTCAAGTAAAAAGGGACAATCGAGTTCAAGTTGATTTTCTCTAAGTGGTCTACAACTCTGATATAGAAAAAATCGGTACCGATAAGTCAAATCCTAATTTTCACGCCTGCTATGGGTTACCTGTTACCATTTACCACAAAACTGGTAATTTTTTTTAAAAAAGGTGGTCCAATACACAAGTAAACATATCATTTTTTTACTCACCTGTATATAATCCCATGATTATGTAAATAAAATAAACCTAATGCGATTTCAGCTGAATAGAATCTGAAATAAAAAAGCCATTAGAATGAATAGAATGAAAAAATATTCGATTAGCTAAGAAAATGTAACTGTTGAAAAAGGACAAAATAACGTAATATAATGTTTTATCTTTATTTCATACTCCAGTTAGCAACTAAGTAACATCATCCGACTGGAACTAATAAAAATCACCTTTTTTAAATTAAGTCGTTCTAGTGCGTTCATCAGAATATTATAACTAATTTGACTGCTTTGAAGGCTAGTAATAATATTCACGTTGATATCATAATGCTTTTAGAAATAACAGTATGGTTTTTGTGCGCGTAAGTTTCATTTTGCTCAATTATGAACAAGCTGAAGGAAATTATTAGTCTAAAATAAAATAAGACTAACCAGTCACTTACATGCATTCAAAATGAAATCAGAAAAAGGAAAGACAAAAACGGGTAATTCATGGGAATCGATAGACCACATACGGTAAATTTTTGATAAACACCATACTACAGTAATTTAAACGAAAAATATTCTTAGGAATTAAACATGCGAAGATCAAAGCAGATCGAAGAAAGTTTAGATGAAGATGTTACTTTTATCACAGGATCATCGATGTTACAGAAGTCATGCAACTGCAACAGTGTTTTAAATTTTATTACTAAATTTAGCAGTTGGACATTCAAATATGTCATCCAATGTTCGATCAGAATCTTTTCATTTCACAACAATCTGAATGGGGAAAATGTTAAACTTTTCTGTGTATTTCACAAACGATGTAGATTGAAAAGGGTAAGTCACTCATAAAAAGTACAAACCAGATTTTCTTGTGGCAAACGCCCTAGGTAAAAATTAGAAAACTTACCCAATATAAACAATGTAGAACTTTCACGAAAATAAGAACATAGTCTATTAGTTAGCCAAGACTTGATATTTATTATAGAAAATTGTTCCTTACAGAATCAAAAAGATGTGTAGTCTAGGAAAGCGCAGCGAATATATTTGGCGTTTTTCATCACGCCTTAAACCATGGTTTAACACATAACATTGACATTATGCAAAGCATTTCTCTTGTGGAATGGATCGACATGACGTCCTACGAACAACAATATCAGGAATATTGTCGTTTTTCTGCCTATTTATAAAACAGAACATCGCTGCTTGAGGAAAAAATCACGTGTTTTAGCTGAAGGATTTTCATTTACATTTAAACATTTTGACTGAAATTAATCTCAGTGAGGTAAATATTAGTATGGCTAGCTGTCACTATTGAAGAGAAATCAAGCAAACCCATTGCACTTCTTGGTCATGATTGTATTGTCGGTTGATTACTTAGTGTTATCAAACATTTCGGAGTTAGATTCTCTTTCTAAAACTCAATGGAGTTTAGTTATAGAGATGGAACATTGTTTAATAGGCGTACAGAACGTAACCTCATGAAAACTGGTTGAATGATCGGTTGAGGACTTTAAGATCTAATTTAACTGTTTTCATACTTGTACATGGGGTATTTAATAGATTCAAAATTAAATAAAATATATTGTGTATAAATATCATTGTTTCTGCAATCAAAATTGCATAGCAGTAAATAAATACAATAGATTCCTTACTGTTACAATTACTTCAGATTACAGATATAATGTTTTGTAGACTGTAATTTTTGACTACTGATATGAATTTAAAAGTAGATGTTACCGTCATTTGTCAAAATATAAAAATTTTCGGCATAGGAAGAACATTAAACAAAACCGTAGATCACGGAGAGATGCGAAAACGTTGCATCAAACCAATATCAAAATATTCCTGTGGGCACCATGTAATATAGAAAAAAGTCAGACATTTCTAAAGTGATTTCTAACTGGCGAGTTTCTTATGATGTACCATGATGCGAAGCAGTTTGAACGTTTCGATATTTTACAACAGCTCAGAAAAAGAGTAAATTTCGTGTTTTTTGTGAACACGTTTTTCTGTTTTCGCCAAAAAGATATCTGTCTCAAGAAAGAAAGTTAATATATGACTATTTACCGTGTGTGCTCTTTAACGAAAATATCCGAAACGGATTTCCATGTATAAACCCGTTAAATGAATAAATCTTTTGAGACAACAGTAAAATAATTGAATTTTTGGGACAACGTAAACTATTTCAACATAATGAGCTTTAAAGAAATGTTTACTGTCTAACAATGGTATCACGCTATAAAAAACCCATGTGATTAAAGAAATCTACATAGAATATTCAATACTTAAAAAAATGGAAGCTCACAAGCTAGATTTCATTTTGAAAAGCTTATAAAGGGATATGGATAATCATTTATGAGGTCAGTTGTCTATGAAGGTCTAATCACTAAGTAAATAACTAATGCAATACGGTAAACATTTTGTTCATAAAGGACTGATACAACGTCTATACAAATAAGAACAGGCCCTTACTAAATGCAAAATAATCTTGTTGTAAACGGCGGTATTCATGATTGTGATGTAGAAAATTCCCTTGTGGGGTCATTCAACACATTTTACTGAATACTATACTAATGGAAGGTGAAAATTGGCAAGATTGGTCTTCCTGTCTAAGGAATGAACGAGGGTTGTTAGACTTCTCTATGTGTAAATTCGAAGCTGACCGAAAAAAAATATGATGGAGTACGGTGAAATAAGAATCTTTTAGTTCTATCCATTCTACAGACATTACTTTAAAATAAGACAAATTAAGTTTACTGTGCCTAGATTTTCGACAGTCGCTTGACGGCACTAGATTCACGATGAAACTTAATCACAAGTGTATTGAAAATCCATGATTAAACAACGTGGAAAATTAGAAACGTGGTTCATCTTTTCTGAGACATATACTAATACACAGTAATCAATTTAGTGATAATTTAATTACTCATAAATCAATGAGCGAACGTTTGTCAAATAAGCACTACCATGAAACATCAGTGGAATATCTGAGTTATTTTTCTGCGGAAATATAATCGATTTTGCAGAAACAACCATTAGAAAACTATGTATTACACGTTATTCTGTTTAACCTAAAAATGAAGAGATGATATCTAAACTTATTATGGATAATTATGATACAAATATATCATCAGAAATAAAGACTTCAAGCGTACACAGCTACAGGTTCTTTGAATTTTCCTTCTTGTTGAATGCGATGCATAAGATCTCCACCATTTACATATTCCATCACAAGATATAATCGATCCTGTGGAAACAAAAAGATGGAAACAAAATATAATTACACGAGTAAGAGAATAGGACGAGAACTCGTTAGGAGTAAATGGGTCTTAGAGATTGCTTAATTTAGTTGTGCGGTTTATCATAAAACATGAATCACATTAAAACACCTAGGAAATGGTGTTTTATTTATCACTTCCAATCTTTATAGACAGCACACCTAAAAATAAATGAATCCATTTTGCGTTGTTATTTGAATTATATTATTTATTACTTCCTAATCATGTGATTCCTGAACAAGATTTCTTCTGTTCGATTTCCCAGTCATTCACTGTGAGTATAAGAGCTAACACGGGGACAGTACAATTGTTCACCGTTACCTAGTTACCACTGGTCACTTCGAAACAAATGATGTTATCCATCCATCAATAAAACAAAAAAGACAGAGCAATTCACAAACTTTCAGAAACACTTTATTTGGTCTTCAACCCTTAGATCAATCATCTATATGACAGCTCTTGGATTTATTTGCATCAAGAATTTAGATCAGCTACAATTACGATAGAAAATGATTGATCAATATGCCAGTTTTTTTAAAAGCTGGAATTTCGCACAAAAATAGAAAAACAGGGAAAATTTTCTTTTAAAAATTTGTCACTAACCATAGATTGGAAACATGAATGTAATCGAACTAAAAAAGGGGATTTATTCGGCAAAGCAAGAACTCTACGCTCTGTCATAGCACATTCTACATCATCATCTTGTAAAATTACATCTTTTTTCAGAATTTTCACAGCAAATAGTTCATCCATATGTTTCTGTTCAGCAAGTATAACCTTCAACAAAAGTAAAGATAAACTATTTTACTGCCCATAAACGCAATACTGATATTTTAAGAAAACAAGAAGGCATCATAAAACAACGAAAAATGTGTTTGATATCGATATTATTATAATTGGGCTTCATTTAAGCTATACAACGTTAAGTAACCATGGATTATAAGCCATAAGACAGACGGAAGCGAGTTTTGATTACTTCGAACTGTTATTGAAGATTTCGACAGCTAATTAAAACACACAATCAGGGAGCATTACATAAGGAAAATAAGAAAAATGTGCTACAGGTTAAACCGACTGTAAGAAACGTAATTGGCCTCCATCATCAATGATCAATTTACACAAACAATAAATATTCCTTCCGTTTGGAAAAGGTAATGTAAAAGAGGAAATTGCTTCCATTTAACTGTGGTGGGAAACTCTTCGGAAATAATAAATAAATAATTATACACAGTTCTTCTTAAATGAGCTCAGTAATTACAATCATGGAGTGATAAGTGAAGCTATAGATATGAACTAGCTTAAACTAGAACAACTTAACTGTCTTTTCAAAGGACAAGTGTACCTAATAACCAAAATAATATACAACTAACAGGTATTTATATGATTGAAAAATTGTCACTTTCACACAAAAATCATTTGTCAGAATTTAATAACTAGTCAAATTACAATTAAGATTTATAATTTTATCATGGTTATGAAGAAGAAACGCATACAATTACTTATGAATTCTGCTTAACTGCATGGAAAACCTTTAAAAATTGGTCTTTATAAGTGTAGGTAAGTGGATAGACTTTCCAATTTAGTAAATAAAGGTTCTACTGAAGTTTAACTAGAAAACTGTTGTTAGATAACATTAAGATAATAATGCATGATCGTTCAAATTTATTTTTTAACATTGAAAGTATCTTATTTTACTGAAACATAATTTATTGAAAGACTTAGACAAAATTGTGATTTCTCTTTAATCATTAAAACGTTTCCCAAATTGATCAAATGGTAAAGCGAAGTATTTAACAAAAAGTGTTTATTTAATAAAAAGTATTAGACTAACCTTTCCAAAACTACCTTTCCCTAAAACATAAAGGAAATTGAAATCACTTGGTCGAGGAATATCTGGTTTATGCTGTGACATTGTTGATGAGGTTGATATCTTATTTTGACTACTTGCCAAGTTTAAATGTTCAGTAGACATACGCTAAAGTAGAAAATACAAATTTAAATAAAGTGTCAAAAAAACGGATAATTACGGTAAAATGGAATCCCGTTCCATTAATCAAATGACAATTTTCAATGAACGCGGGTGTAGATCTATGAAATGTATCCGGAAATTAATGAAATGCAATTACTTTAAAAGTTAGTAAATAAGTATCTTTAAACATCATGTATATCTGTGGTAACATCAAACAATTTACAGATGAACCTATAAAAGAATTAGATTCAAGCACTAAAAATTAGTAGCCAGAATAAACTATACAATTCACAAAACAGTGTATGCACGTTGACTGCCAACAAAAACGTACAATTACAAACGATTATTTCTTTACGCAACATAGCCATGCTCGTTAACATGCTGTTTAACAAGTCATTTATATAATTTCAATTAGGATGAACTAAATTTCCTTTATAACACGGGACGGAAAATCTGACAAATCACCTGAAACTAGTGATTTCAAACAGATGCACCGTAAGTTAATAGTGTTGATTTTCAGGTCAAAAATTCTGTAGTGAAACTCCAGATTTTTGCAAGCCACAAACTCCTTAATTTAAGCTATTAATTGATTTTTGATGGGGAAAAATAGTTCCTAAACCATTTATATCATCTAGAAATGAGAGAACTACCGAGCGTAACAGATTACAAAAGAAAGAACATGACTCTATTGCAGGAATGACAAATCATTAAAATGTAATACACCATATTGCTAATTAAAATCTGTCAGCAAATAAAAAATCATAAAGGTTACATAAAACCAGTGCAGTACGTCTGAGATCTGACTCATTAAACATTTATATTCGTGGTATGAAACGATTAATGTGAACAGCTTGAAATGATGCTCATATACTCTCTACTATCTAACATACACAAACAAACATATGGCATTTAAATTACATAGGATAAAGACTACTTCACAGAAAGATAAAACTCAGGTGTTGTCAGAGTTATAGCACATTTCCGCAAGACAAACTAATTGTGAAAATGGAACATGGAAAGTCCCCAATAAAACACAATACTTATACGAGCACGGATGGATTTTCTAAGCAGCTACTTCTATTTAACTGATAGGTATAGTTTATTCTACGTAACCACACCTCAGTGGCCGGTGAATAGGGTCAAGACTAAAATTTATTAAATCTAACCACATTCGAATCTCCATAAATCTTGAAATTAAATAAATACTCAATCAAACTTAACATACGTAATGATTACCAAACTGATCAAGAGATCAAACGAGCATATGTCGTTTGTTTCTAGAAAACAATCAACAATGCCCATGAGTTCATGAAATGATACTTCATTAAAAAACCATGTACGAAGACAATAATCAAGAATAACAACAGCAGCAGAAAGTGAAAAAAAATTAAATTACAAGTTACACAAACATTGGAGATGACAAATAACCTGACGTCTGGTAGTTTCGACAATCTCTAAGAATGTAACTAAGTATGGAAATCAAAGACAATGGTCAGAATGAAGCCTAGTTAGAATCAATGTATGTTCTGCGGAGATTCTCCCAACAAATACAGGAGTTAAACAATAGAACAGTAACATGAAAACGAGCTAGTCACTTCAGGTAATCAATTCTCTCTCTCTCTCTCTCTCTCTCTCTCTATATATATATATATATATATATATATATATATATACGAAAGAAGAAAAACTGAACCGACAAAGAAGTCTTTTGCGGGACGACGTTTATTGTTTGATAAAGGTGGTAGATGGGCATGTGTCTTTAAGAACTAATGTTGATTTTAATCAGTTGTGGATCACTAGCCTTTGTTTGGGTGCCAATATGCGAGAAATCATATACACAATGGAATGAAACCTCATCGGTAACAGATGGATTTACAAATCTCCGGGTTTGACGTAAATGAAAATGTTTGAAATTCATAAGAGTCAATTGATTGATGTACAAGTACAACTTAATGAGGAAAAACTTTCAAATGTACAAAAGCTTCACTGACTAATCGGTTCACACTATTTCAGTAATCCAGACTTACAAGCCGATTTCATTTTCAGAAGTATGCTTTTCATCTAATGACCAACAGTTGACTCCAAAAACACAGTTATCGTAGGAAAGCCTTATACACCACCAATATTGCTAATGAAGACTTTCACGTCAAATGGTTATTGTTATGGGTTAAATGTTTATCTTCGAATAGTTTCATGAATGTATGACAATCACTTGTTGATCGACAACACTTCCTTTAGGTTTACTTTTTCATCAACCTCCACTTTCGGGAGAACTAAACAAAAACTACACGTCACTGTAATTAATCCCAAAATTATTTTTATCCTTGTAAATATTGTCAACAATATTAACTAGTGAATAGAGGGTCACTATAGTTACTGGTCAGTGGATTAACCTTTTTCTCTGCAACTGAAGCATTTACTGAGATAGATTACCTTATAATCAGAAAAGGATAGTGTGGGCTGACATAAAAACACCGCAAAGTACGATAGAATAATGATACAACTCAAGATTCGGCAATTCCCAAAGTTATAATTTTAAATGATCCGATGTAATCAAAAAGGTCTCTAATTTAACAATTGAATATTCGAGTCAACTGTATGACAGACTATTAAAAAGCAAAAGAGCCTAGATAAGTATTTATTGCTGCTTTTCTATCCAGGAATAGAGACACCGTATACGAATTAATAAATGAAGATGTCATTTAAATACATCCTACAAATTTCTGTCTCATTGGAACAGAAAGACGTTTCAACAAAACACTAAGTGTCCTATCATTTACATATGAGAGTGGAATAATGAACAATCTCTCTAGAAACTGATTAAAGTCAGTCGGTACACAATAGAAAACTCGACAAAATCAAACACGCTTTTTATGAAACCCCACAGGCTGAATCAGTGATACTGAAGAAGAATAGGTGTCATAAAGAGGTCAAGCAAGGGAAAACATGAGAACAGGATAGTTATGCTAAAATCTGTTCATTCATACATTATGAGAACGCTTTAACTAAACAATTCTTTATGCGGTCCTCATTCATGGATGATAAAAAGGGATTTTAAACTAAGTTATTGGTCAAACGCTAAGGCTCAATCGATGGCCCGCAAGAGCAGTTACTCGAAGACAACTGGATCAGATCCTACTAGTACTCAGGTATCGAAATCCTATTCATCATCCTAACATAAATGAATTGGTCCACTGATTAGTACCAAATCACATTTTACTATGTTCAATATTTAAATATTTATATGCTATCCAGTTTTTTTGGTATACCTTCTGTAATCTAATGAAAATAGTAGTATTATCATTCATATAATTAATAGTATGAATCACTGATTGCTGTCATAAAGGTGTAGGGCTAATAATCTTGTAAACGATTGGATGCTTGGGGAAGGGAAAATTTAGAATAATGATAATTATAACCACCTATTATTTAGTGATAGACATAATCGGAATTGCTAATATTACAATGGAGGCGGGAAATACTAAACAGAATACGTTCATATATATTTTTCACCAATGGGAAATCAATCGTGTAAATTGATTTTGACATCATACTTAATAAAATCTACATGTTTACACAAATATGGTATAAAATGACTTGTTTTTTGTAGATAAACGTCTTTATCTTCGTTAAAAACACGCCTCAGATGGTCCTAGCTGTGATCTAAATACATCATCAATGAAGAATTAGATTGCAGGGCAGTGGACTTAGAGCATGAACGTCCTAGACGTAGTAAGTAGATTTTGGTAAGCAGTCATGTTCATCATAGAATATAAACTAAAGGTATTATACTGACTACTTTCATCAACGTAGATATCGAGGTATGTAAAAAGTGATATTTAGCATGTAAAGTAGGAAGAGAAAATCCTGCTCCGCTGATATCGGTTGGATCAACCGAATACTGTTACTAGTTCCTATACAAAGAGATACTTAAAACGATGTACATAAAGCACACCTTAATCATCTAGTTACATTGTTAGCTAAGCAGTGGAAAATCGTTAGAGTTGTTGCTTCTTTATGAAGATCAACGTTGCTGATGGTTTTCAGACAATTCAGCTAACGAAATTCTACGATGTGAACTCCAACCGAACGACCTACTATCCTGTATGAAATCACATGTCCCAGAAACTAATACTTCGATCAAAAAAGGCACCACAGATGAACACTGTTGAAGTGATTTTGTATAGAGATGAAATCTGTATAAAATTACCAAAATTATCAAAGCATTTAGCAAAAGTATGTTATACAAGCCAATTTCAAACTTCCTGATAGTCCTCAGATAATCAGTTGGGAATCACTAAAGTATCTGATAGGTTTATATCAGGCAGAATTACACATGAAAAGTTAAAGTGGCTGTACACTAAAAGACCATAAGAAAATTTGTTATTCAGGCTATCAGTGTACTGAAATTTCTCGTTTTAATTAAAAGTGACATCTACATCCCGAAAACCAAAATACTGTAAAAAAGGCAAACGATTCATAACTAATGTAACTGAAGGCAAAAAGACATTGGTTTAACTTGGACATATTACCCAAATAAAACTTACTTCCATACGTTTACGCAATTCTAAAACAGCCGTGTTAAATTCATCAATACATGGTAATGAATAAAATTCACCCTCCTCTTGATTTAATAGTTTGTACCATGATGACACAGATTCTTTAATGACTTCACTAACCCCAAAGGAAAAAGAACCCATAAAATCATTTCGAGAAGTACGATCCCAATCCCAAACTTCAATTGAAAGACGCTTTGAATGATCGTCATCTGATATAGCACTTAAAAATCAATAAAAAAATAAATATAAAATCATGTAGAAAATCTTTAAATTTTACTTTAAAAAATGAATGCGTCTGCTCAGCAGTTTTAAATAATATAGATCGAAGAACCGATAAAGCAACTACGGAAAACATTTAAAAATGTGTTTGTTAAAAAGACAACAAAGGAAAACGAGATTTGAAACACCAAAGGACAATGGTGAAATTTCAACTCAGATGTGTAAACAATGATTTTTCACGGACTTTCAGATTTTCTAGGTATATTATTCTTGTTCTATCTTCATTTCGGTTAGCTCGCTTAAAGTCTCACCTGTATCACGTAAATCTATTTTCCTAATAACTGGAATTTTACAGATAAATGATTTCTATTGTTAATTTGTTGTTTAAGGTAATAAGGTTAGTTAAGTTAGTTAGATGGAAATATATCTATGAGAAAAGCTTTTGTTTCATTTACTCATAAAATAACAAACAATGGACTATAGTTCAGCTGTTTCTTTGTAGTTTTAGTAATTATACTGATATAAATAAATGTAGGTAATGTTTTTAAAGAATTAAATCTTCAATGTTTCAGTTCGCTAATATCATACACGGAATCGGAAGCATTATTTGCATCTAAAAACTGCTACAACCTAGTAAAACTCATTTAACCAAAAAGACAATAACACATCTGATATCAGTGAAACTAGCTAAGAGGCTTGCGTTATTCTACATCTAAAGAACATGTGTGATGATATAGATTTATTTTGATCAATAGAATGAGAATAATATAGGCTTACTTCGTAGCAATAAAAGGATTACCTGAATCATACCAAAACAATAGCAACCAGTTTGTAAGTAAAAGAGGTATTTTGAATTATCAAGATCCAGAATTACTTCTATAAAATTACCAAGAGGCTGGAACCGGACCTACATTGACTCACATTCTGTATTAATATACCATCATCTAGTAATTGTCAACAAAATTTACACCTATGCCTTCGTGTCCTAATTTAATTAACCTCTATCAGTCAATCTCAGGAGGTGCATTAGTAGGAAACCTTATTAAACATAATACATATCTTTTTTCAGCGAAACAGTATCTAAAGTGATAAAAGTTAAGTCATTTTCAAAATCCTAATCAATATATTGTACACAAATACTTAATCAACTAATTCTTTTAAGGCCTAATTACCCAAACTATCTTCGACGATTTAATTCAGTGAAGAACAGACTGATATTTTCAATGGCAGTATCGAATCCAAAATAAAAATATTGCCAAACTTTATTGATTGGATTCTAAGAAAAGGGTTTGAAAAAACGATCAGTAGAAGGCTGAATTACCAAATATTTATTCATACTAAAAAGTACATTTCTGTAAATTGCGCAAAGTCAGTGAGAAGAAATGCTTAAACGTAGCATTTCGGAGAGTATCATGATTAAAACAAGGTGTTTTAATATCACTAGTACCTTACCAATTATCCCCAGAATTACACCCCATCAAATAAATTACAACAGTATTGTTTGCGTAGTTAATGAAAACTAAGGGGAATGACATCATAAACCAGTGCTTTCAAAAATTTGAAACAAAAACATGAAACAACCAGTCATTTAATTGGTTAACTAACGTTTACGATATGTATAAAAGCCTTTCATATTATATTAACGTATCTGCAATTGGTTTACGCGAAATATAAATAAGCTAAAATGACTTTTGCTCGACACTTTGATTTAACTTGAAACCAAAATCGAATACAACCATTCGGATAAAAACAATACGTAAAACCCATGAAAAAAAGTATCATAACTCCATAAAACTCTATATACAAAAAATTAACATGTCTACAAATTTAATGATGATTTAACTCATTTCCATTTTCTTTTTAGAAAGAATCGAATTCTACGAATGTAAAATAATAATATAAGATCTTGGTGATAGGCTCACATCAACAATGGTAATACAAAAATTTAGAAGAAAAACAAGTAAATGTTCATTTAAATAAAATGAAAACCTGTCCAGTTTTCTTATCAACTATGAAATAGTAACAAACACAAAAATACTTACGTTTTTAGTTTACATTAAATAACCTAGCTATTTGCAACAACGAAGTTTGAATGTTTATGTTTGTTTTAATATTCTCAATCCTCAAACCAGCCTTCATTTTTAGTGTTGTAACATTGATAAAAAAGGAAACAATTTCGGTACAAATATTGGAAGTTCTTTATTATAACTTTCGTTACTGGGAAAACCATTGGAGAATTAGATGTCGAGAAGTAAGAGTTCCCGATACTAACCGGACATTTATTACTCTATAAAGTTTTCAGGGTTCTAGTGCGAATAGGATTTCATTAAAAAGTATGCTGTTATCGTAAACAGTTGTAGTTTCTACGATTTCAACAAACTATATACGATTTACAATAGCTTTAACATGAAAAAGGGTTACATCACATCAATTTAAATATATCAATACTTTTATTTTATAGATATAGATATATAAAGATAATATACTACTAATTATTATTAAAATGAAGATGAACAACTGAGTCCTACCAAGGACTGTATGATTCATTTTAAAATGTCAAAACATTAAATTAAGCTATTATAGTGGAAAAGTTCCCGACCGTTGTTGCTACCTTGACGTGGTGGTCGGGCTTGCCTATCGTGATGAAGCAGCCGAGCTATACTGGCTGGAACAACCGTTCCTCAAGGTCCTACCATGTCAGACAGGTCGGTTGAAGAGCGGTAAGACTAAAAGCAACAAACCTAAGGTCCGAAGGCGAAGTCGTACTGCTGACTGTACAGAGGTGTGACAGCAGTAAGGTGTTTCCTTCAGACAACCAGCATGACAGCGATGCTGCCTTCCCACAAGGAGGGGTGGGGTTAGAAAAGGTCGACCCTAAAAATGCGCACCTCACCTTACCTCATGGATTTCCGTCTCCGGCGGTAAGGCCCTTTGAAGAACGGAGCTAACACGTCAAAACCTCCCACGAAAAGGCCGTGCGCGACCAACCTCAAGCAGTTGTCCTTTGGGCACTGCGGTCACGCTCTCAGGTCACTGAGACCGCCTCTAATCCAATTTCCTTTTCAGGTACCTCCAGAAGAACCCTTCCACGGTGTGGGCAACCGGGAAGTGATAATCGCCCTCATACCTCTAACAGCACCCAAGACCACTGTATTCATAATCAACTTTCCTCTTCAATTCCTATTATTCCTCCTACATCGACTTTCAACCCTAAACTTCCTCCTTCGGCTTCCTCCTCAAGTGCCACCATAGCCAACGATTCTAGTGCTCAAAACTCTGTCCCAGGTCTACTGAAACCTCGCTCCAAACTACACATTGGAGCTTTCAACGTACACACTCTATGTCAAATCGGTCAGCAGGCTTCCTTGGCTAAAACCCTAGAGTCTCTTTCCATTGATGTATGCTGTGTCTCCGAAACACGCATACAGGATTCCAGTGTGGTTATTAACTTGACATCACCTCGCCAAAATGTGGAGCCGACGAGATATACCCTCCGTGTATCTGAGAACCCGATGGCTAGTTCTCTTGGACTGGCAGGTGTAGGCATAGCACTAAGTATGAGGGCAGAACAATCACTTTTAAAACGGATTCCCGTTAACAGTCGTCTATGTGCTGTTCGCCTAAACAACTCCGTAAGAATTCAGAAGAATAGGGACACACGTCGTTGCCTTTTTGTCATTTCTGCCTACGCTCCTACTGACTGCAGCTCAGAAGATGTGAAAGATGAATTTTACAGAAAGCTGTCCGAACTTCTTCAAAAAGCTAAACGCTCAGACATAGTACTCGTAGGGGGTGACTTTAATGCTCAGATAGGTAGCTTAAACCAAACAGAAAGGCATTTAGGTGGATATTTTAGCATTCCGGCACAGCGAACAGATAATGGTGACCGTCTGCTGCAACTGTGCTCAGACAATCGCTTATTTTTAGCAAACACAAATTTTAAGCATAAGGAGAGACATCGTCTAACGTGGCGACCGCCTGCATCAAACCAACGATGGACTCAAATAGACCATATTGCCATCAGTCATCGTTGGAGAGGGTCGGTACAAGATTGTCGCTCATTCTGGAGTACCTGCTTGGACTCCGACCACGCCCTAATACGGGCACGCATCTGCTTGCGCCTCACTGGACGCAAAAAAGCCACAGTAAAAAGACCCATTAGAACCGAACTGAGTAGCGAGGAAACCAAAAGAAAGTTCCAGGAACAACTGAGGTCACGATTAGGTAGTTCTGAAGACGAGGCTGACCCAGATGTTGCTTGGAATGAAATACAAGCAGCTGTGGAAGCAGCAGTGACATCTATTAGCGACTTAAACCACAGAGTTTCAAAGAACCAGTAGATTTCTTCAAAGTCTATCACACTGATGGATTCTCGCAAACTCGTCCCATCAGGTTCTGAACATGAGGAAGAGCGACAACAAATCAGATCTAGGTTAAGAAAAAGTCTAAGAAACGACCGTGAGCAGTGGTGGGCAACGAAAGCAAAAGAGATGGAAAAGGCGGCGACTATAGGGAACACAAGACAGCTTTACAGACTAATAAAAGAAACTGGAATTAATAAGTCAAGTGTAAGTGAGATTATATCGGAAAAAGACGATACACTCATCTGCTCCCAGTCCAGGCGTTTAGAACGATGGGCGGAACATTTCAGAGAACAGTTCAGCTGGCCTTCAGCTACTCTACAAATACCCTCCATTCCCAGACAGTGTGAATGGAACATTGATGTAGGTCCCCCAACTCTTGCTGAAGTTCAAAAAGCTATAGTTAATCTGAAACGAGGAAGGGCAGCTGGTCCAGATGGATTGGCTCCAGAGGTCTTTAAGGATGGTGGTCCAATTTTAGCGATTAGGTTGACTAATATTTTAGCTAAAATCTGGGAGTTAGACGTTATTCCATCTAACTGGTCACAATCACTTATCGTCCCAATATATAAGAAAGGGTCAAAATCATCCTGTGACAACCACAGAGGTATAAGTTTGACTAATATAATATCTAAAATACTAGCCTCGATAATTATCAGACGCTTAACTAAGACTCGTGAACTGAAAACACGAGAGAACCAAGCTGGCTTTAGACCTGGTCGTGGCTGCATCGACCACATATTCACCATTCGCCAGATTCTAGAACACAGACATACTTATCGGCGTCCGACAATGGTGGTCTTTCTCGACTTAAAAGCAGCATTTGACTAGGTAGACCGCGAGATTTTGTGGCAGTGTCTGTCATTGAAAGGCGTACCCCAGAAGTACATAAACCTTGTAAAGGCTCTTTACTCGAACACTACTAGTCGAGTCAGAGCTTATGGCGAACTGTCATCTACTTTTGCAACCTCAAGTGGTGTCCGTCAAGGCTGTCCACTTTCCCCATTTTTGTTTAACTTCATCATAGATCTTCTGATGGAAATAACTTTCTCGTCGACTGAGTTCTCGGGTATTGATCTCCTACCAGGAGGTCCACTTATCGACTTGGAATACGCAGATGACATAGTCCTGTTTGGTGAAGACGCTGACAAAATGCAGAGTCTTCTGGTAGCACTGAGCGACAATGCCAGGATGTTTGGAATGCGCTTCTCTCCCTATAAATGCAAGTTGTTGCTTCAGGACTGGTCTGCGTTTACACCTGAACTAAGGATAGGAAGTGAAGTAGTCGAACGCGTTGACAACTTCACTTATCTTGGAAGTCTGATCAGCCCTAATGGGTTGGTATCGGACGAAATCTCAGCACGGATTCGAAAAGCTCGATTGGCTTTTGCCAACCTGCGTCACCTATGGCGACGGCGAGATATCCGTCTATCAATAAAAGGACGAGTATACTGCGCGGCAGTCCATTCTGTTTTAATTTACGGCAGCGAAACATGGCCATTAAGAGTAGAAGACACTCGTAAGCTATTAGTATTTGACCACAGATGCCTTAGAAATATTGCTGGCGTCTGCTGGGATCACCGGGTAAGTAATAGTGAGGTTAGACGCAGGGTATTAGGGAATGATGGTAAATCTGTTGATGAGGTTATGAATCTTCATCGACTGAGATGGTTGGGCCACGTGTTACGTATGCCTGAACACCGATTACCACGACGTGCAATGCTATGCGGTATTGGAAATGGTTGGAAGAAAGTTAGGGGCGGCCAAACCAAAACGTGGCATCAGTGCTTGAAGTCACTAACTTCTAGTCTGAGCCATGTTGGTAGATGCAGACTACTTGGTTGGGGTCCGCGTGACTATCGTAACCAATGGTTGGAGACTCTTGGTGACATGGCTCAGAATCGATCACAATGGCGTCGGTGCATACACTCCCTGTCTTCCCTTAAACTAAGAGATTAAAATAGCTTCATATCTTTCTTTCTACGAACCAATTCTTTCTTCTTGTACTATATCTCTATATGCAATCTTTCTCCTACATATTACTACGTTTGACCTAACCACTGCTATGAATCCGGTGTTCATCTTGTTGTGCTGATGCGGTATGGCAACCTGGACCGATGCACATATGTGCCTGGTCCTACGTTGTAGCTGACTGACTGGCTGACTGAGTGGAAAAGTTTAATTTCAAAGTGACTATCGATTAAATGAAGATTTAGATGGTGCAGTTAAGAGCCTAAAATAACCCAACAAACTGTAGTGGCTGTTTTTTGTAACTCCGATCTCATGATCGTTGGTTTTCAAGGAATCCCAATTTTCAGTGTAAGTTGGATACAAATCATTATTTTAAGCAGACAGGCCATATAAATATCATTGTTTAAAAGAATTAATAAACGATTGCTATTGCTTCTGTGCGACGTAGTTGCACTGAGACGACCACGTGTACGTATACATTTGGATAAATGCAAATTGTCTTGGATACCAGTTATATGATAATATCAAGAGTTTATTCGAAAAACTCGCTATAAAGTTAAAGGAATTGTGAGGAAGGTCCACGGGTGAACTCGAGGAAGCTCTAAGAAGCTCAGAAAGAGCCTATGATATTTCATCCAATCATGTTCTGGGAGAATATTCCGGAATCCACGCATATAACTTCCCTATCGGACAAATGCTAATAACCCCTTGTATGCAGATTGGAGGACTATAATGGTGATTTCGTTCTTACTATAAATATCTGACAGTTTTGTACCATAATTGACACTGTTTGAAATAGCATTCCTTCCACTTGTCTTCTATCTCCTCATTTGCGACTTGAGAGTGTTCTAGCGTTCGAGAACATCACATAAAGTAACTACCCCAGTAGTAGCAATAATTATAATAAATGGTAGTTTACTTAGGTTCAAATAGCACATTCAACACGGCATGATTAGGTGTCATTTACACTATAAATATCTAAATCATAAATCCACCTTGTGAAAATAGAGGAGACAGCTGTTAACGTGAATAGAATAAATACGAATTAATGCGATTAAAAATGGAGAGTTTTGTACTAGGTCATTAAAATAAGGACGATGAGTTACTTACATTTAAACGAATATTTCAGTGAAGAGAACTTTATTTGTTAAATCTTTGACTTTCAAGAAACTATTCAATCGCATATGTACGAAATATTTACTGCGGTGAAAAGAGTGCTTGATGGTATGAATGCTTATAGTGAGTGCAATTCGCTCGTATTAACAAATAAAATGTATTACTCAGAGAATCATTCAAACCGATTTGACAAGATAAGAATACCATAGAATGAAGATCAAAGACACAACGATTAAGTGTAAAACTATGGTGGGATGGTTTTCCTAAGTGGGCTACTGTAAGAATGACAGTTGATTAGAGATAAGATACCAAATTTAAAAATTCTACTTGAGAATGTTATAATGAAATGAATTTACGAAGAAAAGACTTTATGTGACTGTTATGTTTGAAGAGGTTACGAGTTCACTTAGTCTGAGAACGGAACGAACACTCTGTGACATGATGACAGATAGGCTGGTTATTCTGACGCGTCCCAACCCGCTAACTAGAGAGAGAAGTCCATGGTCGGAATTAGGAAATATATTCCACAAGCAGCCAGGAGCACGAACAGCCACGACGACCCTAGTCGAAAATACACTCATATATATATATATATATATATATATATATATATATATATATATATATATATATATATATTGATTTGTACATTCATTTTGATTAATAATTAGAATGAAAATATTTAGTTATTCCATGTTGTATATCCATGCTGAGCATAATTCATGTGAATTGAATACAAGAATATTGTATATTATACAGAATAAAATATTATACGGGTAAACAACTATACTAAATAATTATCACATTAAATGAAAATGGAATTAATATTGAACAAAAATCATAATAAATAAATTTATCTCAATTTGACTTTTCATCCCGTTAGATCAGTGACTTAAAGACGAAAAAGGACAAAAATAAACATCTGAAAAGATACACAGTTATGGAGGAATATTAGTTTTATCATAGAATAAACTATCGTATAAACTGTTTCTAAATGCACAAATCTAAGTTTAAAGTGCATATAGCCAATGTTTATGCGGTCCATAGATGTATGTGTAAAATAAACTGACTAGCCATTTTTATTGATGTCTAAGTCTCACGAGCCAAAAGTCGAATATGAGCCAAAATCAAGTGTTTTTAAAAATGAATCAGTTTATTTTTTATGACGAAATTGCATGAAATCTAAAATACGTTTTCAAAACAATCAAAACTTTAGTGAAAAACAGACAAAATATCACAATGAACTTAATAGTAGATTCAAGAGATGATCTTACAGGTAAAACGTCTCATTCCACACAGGATTTAGTGTAGATCGACAGACTTTTGTTTTCAACTTGGATTTACCACCCTCGTCACTGGGCAGCAGTTTGATTTTCACATACGGATCTGCTAGACCATTTGGATCCATTGGAACAAGATTTTTAGCTTCGAAAACTATAATTAAAGAAAAAGAAAAATATATTCCAAATATATGTCCATAGTGTGAAGTGTCAAAATGAAAACTGTTACTCAAACTTTTTACTTCATTCTTAGAAATGCTTTAGTACTCAAATAAAATAATCCAACAAAGTCCCGCTGAAGATTATCGTACGCCTCGATGAACCAGTACTAAATTTGAAATTCTTAGTCGTTAGTATCAGGTCTAAGGTTCATGTTTCATTGGAGATAAAAAGAGTAGAAATAAATGCTTTTGGTTTTTTATGGGGATTCAATCGACAAAACCATACAATAAAAGTATTTGCGAATCCTTAAACTAGAGTTCCAAATCAGAGAGCAGACAGTTCGAAAATTTCTCGGGACTAAGATCATGTAGTTAGATGTAAAAATTTACACGTCCTGATCGGAAAAGAATAGTTGTTACTAATATATGCAAATAACAGCAGTTTACAAGAAAAATATGATATGAATATGTCTCGTCAATCTTTAAGACATATAGTTTGTGTCAGGTAAAGTGATATTAATAATATATGGTTCTAAACAAAAAGTGAATGTGATTCAGGTGCTCTAGCCACTAAGCCATTGTTCTACATGTCTTACACTAAACAGAAAACAAATTTGTAGTATTGTTTTTATAATTAAAAGTGAGCTATTTTTATTCAGCTCTAATAACAGTATTAAAAATCTATTTGATTAGAGAGAAATGGATAGACCAATAAATGTTCATTAAATAGTCTGCATGAAAAGATTATGCATATCTTTGATAACAGTGTGATCGAACGAACTATAGTTTAATTCACATGATGAACATAAAAGTTGATACTGTTCTTGCAAGTCACAGATTTATTAAAACGAAATAGTTGGGAGACATTTTGATACTAGTCAGTTTCGGAATTAACTGCATCGTGTTGAACTCTCTAAAAATATAAGAAGGAAAAAAACATATTTGTGGTCAGATCTTGCTAAGTTTCTTATCACCGATATAAATGCGAATAAAAATTTTCATTCACACTGTTATGACGTTTTCATTTCAACTGATACAACGTGGCCATGCAAAAGAAAGTTGACACCATATTTTAAATCTTGATATTAACTGACTTTTGAAGAAGATTGCCCTCTATGAAAAATAATGATCAGAGTTGAAGATAGCATATAAATATTCAAAATGAAAAGGTATCTAGATAGCTTTTCAATTAAATTCGGTGGTTTATTAAGTTATCCAGATTTCTATACACTCGTTGATAATGAACAATAGTAAAAGAGATTCTGTGACTTAATTATTGAAAACTTAGTAACTGTTTTCTGTAACAAAAACTAGTTTGATGTTTTCACATATTTTTCGACGAACCAGCTAGTTATCCTCAGTTGATAGAGTAAAATAAATCAGACAAACATTCAATATTATAAATTAGGCGGTTTCATGATTAGTAAACATAAAAATGTGATTCTCGCAATACTGCCTACAGGGAAATGATAACAGATAGACAAATACATAAATATATATATGCATATAGTAGCAATAAAGAGAAGAGATTTATAATTGTTCATATTATATCTTCATTTCATATTAATATAAAAACCAGAAATAGAAAAGACGGCAAACAACAGTTAAAATAATCAAATTAACAATAGTATCGAATTAAAACAAACAACCTAAAGGACTGAGAAAACAGATAATGAGAAATATATATCATTAGACTGTTGAAAAATTCAAAGGAAACCCAGAACAAATGAATTCGTCCCACTGTAAGTAATTTAAAGCATCAAAGCAATAATTAGATGTACGCGGTGTATTCAAACTGATCCCAAATGTTGATAGGCGATTTTTCAACACTTCAGTTATTCATTAGCAGCCTAAAAATTAGCAACTTGTCATTCCATTGTCTGGTGCATCAGTATAAATAATAACATAAATAGCTGTTGTTTAATGAGTTTAAGTGACCAATAGGCATCCTCAAGAAGTTTCATCTTGTCCATTTAGATACACCAGACACATATCATATTACGACTGCTAAAACTCGGGCGCAGTTATTCAGGTAGTCGAATTCCATAAATAAACTAGTTTTTGAGTTGTAAAAACAGACACAGAGATCTTTATTACCGTAAATAATTGTAACTCTACCTGTAGCCCTTCAAAAGTTACTGCCGATCCAAAGCCCGGGTAAAGGAGGAGGGTTGGTCATGCTAAAAAACGCCAACCTGATTAAACAAATTAAAGCATATGAACTCTGCCCTGGGAGTTGAAAGAAGAATTATGACGCCTCGTGATGAAAGCCAAGATTCTTCGGAAGTCACGAAGCCGATGCCCCTTCTAAAAACTAGAGCAACAATTTACGTAGGTACATAGAACGTCCGGACAAAGTGCAGGACCGCGATGACCAGTCAAATAGTTACGGAAATGAGGAGATACAACTTGGCTGTACTCCAAATCGGCGAAACTCACTGGACCTAAGCTGTACAGCAAGGGCTAGATATGGGAGAGATGCTTCTGTACTCCGGTCACGAAGAGGAAAATGCTCCACACACTCAGGGAGTTGCTTTGATGCTGTTCAAAGAATCACGTAATGAACTTATGGGATGAGAATCTCACGGATCTAGGATCATCAAAGCATTCTTCGAAACAAAGAAGGAGGGAATCACGATGAAGCTATTCATTATTATGCACCCAACAATGATATTATTCAACAACTTGGTTATAAGTGGCACAATATTCCCACACAAAGCTATATGGGTCTCACCAGACCACACCATAGAGAACCAAGTAGATCATATCTTCATCAACAAAAAATTCAAAAGGCCAATGGAAGATGTGAGAACCAAGAGAGGAACTGACATAGCTTCAGATCACCACCTGGTGCTTGCCAAGATGAAACTGAAGCTAAAGGAACAATGGACAACTAGACAAACAGCATTAGAAAGGTTCAATACAGCGTTACTTCGAGGTACTGACAAACTCACTGATTTCAAGGTAGCTTTTAGCAACAGATTCCAAGCCTTACATTATCTACTGGAAGAAGAAGAAACTACTGGAAAGAGATCAAAGAGGCATTAACTTAAACGTGCTGGGAGGTGCTGGGCCGCAACAAGCATTATCATAAGGAATAGACCTCTATCGAAAGGAAGAACAAAAAGACAGCAATTAAAAACAGCCGGACAAGAAAAAAGAAATTCAAGGCACAAGCCGAATAAGTTGAAGCAAACAAGCAGGTGAAGAGGAGCATCAGAGTCGAAAGACAGAGATACGTAGAAGACTTAGCAACGACAGGGAAAAGGCTGAAAGAGAAGGAGATATGAGAGAGCTATATGACACAACGAAGAAACTAGTAGGGAAATATAGGAAACCAGAGAGACCGGTCAAGGACAAAGAAGGCAAGACAATCACTGAGATTCGAGAACAGGGGAACAGATGGGTAGAATACTTCGAAAAGCTATTAAATAGGTCAGTTTCCTTGAATCCACCGGACATTGAAGCAACACCTACGGACTTTTCAATTGATGTCACTCCACCAACGATAGGTGAAATCAGGTTGGCTGTCAAATAAATCAAGAGCGACAAAGCAGCGGGACCAGACAACAGTCCAGCAGAGGCACTGAAAACAGACGTAGCAGTAACTGCAAAGATACTTCACATTCTCTTCAGAAAGATTTGGGATGAAGAACAAGTACCAACAGACTGGAAAGAAGGACACCTCATCAAGATACCAAAGAAAAGAGATCTGAGCAAATGTGATAACTACAGAGGCATCACACTACTGTCAGTACCAGGAAATGTTTTCAACAGTGTTGCTGAACCAAATGAAAGACTCAGTAAACGCACAACTGCGTCACAAGGCAACCCCTCACTTAGAATCCTCAAGGCTAAAGGAGAAGAGGAAGATCAAAGAACACATTATGCCGAGAAATGGAGACAGACATGAGAAGAATGAACAACAATTGGATAGAACTAGGAAGGAAGACCCACGACAGAGTGGGTTGGAGAATGTTGGTCGATGGCCTATGCCCCATTGTGGGGAACAGGTGCAATTAAGTAAGTAATATATATTCTTGTAAATAAACTGTGAAAGTAGGATTAATAATATTATGAGAAATACTACTGTGCCGGGATCTAAAAGAGATGATTACGTCAAGCACTTGAAGGTGACTCAAGTATGAATATATCGAAACAAAGGACTAATTAGGCTAGCGGTCAAACTTAGTAATCATAAAACTTCATTATTAATAAAAAATCAGCATTCCAACTTCACAAAAAATGCAAAATGCATAGATAGGATTGGGTCACATTCCACTGTTTCGCAATTTACACGTACATGATGATATGCAAACATAATTAGCAACAATCACAACTTACAAATAAATACATAGATTGAACAATTTTGAATCAAAATAAATCAAGAGAAAAATAAGGTTATGTGTGGCATACTAAAAAACAAGTTTTAAATGAAGATGACTAGAGATATAAATATCTTGCTCACGAACGGACATTCAGAGTAATAGTTTTATTCTAGATTTGTGAAGCAGTGGCTCAGCGGTCACAGGGTAGTATTGCTGCCTTCCACATAAACAGAATTTCAAAGTCAAGTACATAAAACTTGTACTTATGAAATGATTTCCAGAATTATATTTGTACAAGACAAAACATTTATATTTATGGACTTTATTCTTTAAATTTGTATCTCTGATATTTGTATGGTAGAATACATATGAAGATCAAAATAAAATTTGATTAGACTTCGTTCTTGATCTGAATGAACAAACAAAGTAGAACCTGAAGAGAATTTATCGAAAAGAATATTCTTCGTTCAAAGACTAGTCTTTTAATATGAGGATTAAACAAAGTTCTGTTAATAACTATGTAGAAGATATTAAATATAGAATTATATTTGCTTTAATCTTAGTGGCTTCATTATCGATTATGTCTGTTTTTTGATGATCTAAACTAGTGAACCATATTCATTTTGCACATAATCATACGCAGGTGAGAGAGAGAGAGAGAGAGA